AATAGTGTGCGATTCCATCCTTCTTTTCGCAGTTTGACCGCAATTCGGGATACCAAATGCAGCCAAGTCCTTCTTGACAATATTTCTCAAACAAATTTGTCGTGTTTCTTTATCGTGGGTGGTGTGAAAAAAGAAAGTGCCTGCAGATGATTCAGAATAAAATTAAAAGATGCCGCATACCTGTCGACACCTGACACGAAAGACTGAGAATTTTGCTAAAAAATATAGACCACATCGGGCGAGGGCTTGGCCTTTATTGGAAAAACTTCAAGACACGCCCAACACAAATTGGAGGTTATAAAACACCAATTACGATGTCATGTCATATTCATACATATGTACATATATCGTTTATGCAATCTTCTGAAACAGCTTCAAGGTCCAATAAAAGTCTTTTTACTCTCAAACAAAACCTAGCGGAGCTTTGCTTTTCCTGGCCGATATCTTGGTGAATTGCTCCGAAACGAAGCATTTAAGAAAGTGGATGTTGGTGCTTAATTATTAGAGTATAACATCCGAAGTGCGATCACACGTAGTACATACGTGTATGTTTATATGCACATACATACAATCAAAGTGGATCATCTTCGGGCCGTATAAATGTCATCCAGAAATCAAGAGACCGCAGAAAGAAAGAAGTGTGGACGTTCTTGAGAATCTACACATTTAATTCTATGATGACTTTGTTATGTACATACACGTATGTACATATGTATGTACATATTCTAACTGCATATATACATATTTACATATGTATGTATCTGCTTATGCGTCAGTGTGAAAAATGAATGTACGTGTATGTGTACATGTATTGGGAGTACAGAGATTAAGAAGCGCGCGCGCGCGAAATATGAAATTCAGTTCATTGAACTCTTGGTAAAATAAGCGGAAAGACGACAGTAACAAACGCACACACACACACACACACACACAAAACGTACCAACGAACGAACTAATAAAACATTGATGGCTGTTAGGTGGTTGCCCGAGGAGCGCAGATAGCAGCGAGGAGGGGGGTGGGCACAGAGCATCGGTGACATGAACGGCAGCTACGAAACGCAACGCAACGCGACGCAACTCGAAGCAAAGCAATGATGGCGGAAACAATGTGCAGAAAATGTGTACAAAAACTATGATAACAAAAATTTATAGCAACAACAATTCCAGTTCATAGATTTTCTTTTATTTTCTTCTCTTTGTGCGGTTTCTTTGCTGAAAGTCTCATCTTTGGTGATGATGATATTGATGTACGTACATGCACACAAACAAACATACATACATACATACATACATGCATATACATACATACGCATGTACATGGTCGGTTTGTTGTTCTGAGATGATGATGTGGTAAAAATAAGCGTCTTAAGAGTTATGCATACACATACATATATACATAGAGCTTCGTGTACATACATACATACACGTTTGTATGTGCATATGCGTGCTTTGCAGACACTTCTCCATACTATGCATTGTTTAGCGCATATCATAGGCTAGCGTTAAGCGCTATGTTTGCATGTATGTACATATGTATGTGTGCGTACATGTGTATTTAGATCACTCATAGTATGTATTTTTCCATCGCCATGATAATTTTTGCAATTAGCAACGACGGCGGGACTTTTTTCCACGACATCAATTCTACAATCTCCCAACATTTTTTGTTGTTGCTCGAAAAGTTACCACACCCTTGATCCGCGATTAACGACGAATATAGGGAGTTTTTTATTTTGTTTTGTTTATTCGCCGCTTTTTGCGATATCTTGTATCACCAAGTAGTGAAGTATGAGATGATCTTCTTTCACTTTGGGCCGCTTGCTGACAGTTTCCACATTGACTTGGATTTTGGTACACCTGATCGATGTGTTCTATAGGAAAATCGCCCACTCATATCGCCTCATAGTGTAATTATTATTATTGAATATTTAAGTTTTCATGATCCGCAACTAAATCCCGATTAATTTTGGATATCCCATACGTCGTGATTTTCGTCACTAACGATCACATTAGGTTAAGCGAAAGCCTGAGTGCTTCGATAATATTATGTATCCTTCTAGAGAAGAAGTGGCAGTTTCTACTCTTGACTAATCGCATGCTCTGAAACTCTTGCGATTTACCTTCATCACAAGTGCCAGATATCTGTCCCAGGGAACAATCTTGCTCATCATTTCGCTCAATATGCAATATGATTTTCGATTCATTTTGATATTGATGTTGGGCCTTTGTTACTAATTTCGAATTGTTCAGGTATCAATCTTCTGCCTTAACCTCTTCAAACACCATCAATCGAATTTGAAGCAACTCCGCGATACTGACATTTACATGTAAGCGTAGCTTGCAAGCGCCATGGATGCCAAACTCATCGTAACAATTTTCAATCTCAACGTACTAAATTCCCTCAAGCCGAACATATTCCATATCCGGGAAATAGAAGCGTTAACTACATACACCTGCGTACAAAAACTCAACGAAATGGATCATAAATACACTTCCAAAAATTTTTTTTTTTTTCAAAAAATCGTTCTCTGATCCTGAGAATAAAAGAATCTCAAGTATATCGTCCAACCATCCAACCTTCCAATCATCTCTGCGCTTCTACAAATATTTTAATTATTAAATTTAGTTTCAGTTCTGGATTTTTTTTTGTCTAATATGCAAGCTCGTGGCTATTGTGCCAATGCTGAGGTATGAAATATCGATTGTCCTTCGCTCAGGACGCGCTCCATAATTCAGAGGTGAAGATCGGCCGAAAATCGCTTAAGCGGTTAAAGAGCAGCAGTGCAATTCTGTAACTTTTATCGACACGATTTGTCGGATCGCAAAGTTACGAATTTTGTCGCTTGCGCTAACGATTATGTGATTCTCTAACGCAGTTGTTACGATAATCGACATCGCACATTTCCATTTTATTAAAATGTAGGAAATGTGGCACCACAGCTCAACGAAACGTCAAAATGTACAAAAAGCACAAAGAGAAATGACAAAAACAAATAAATCTGTTATTGAAATTATTTTTATTAAAAGAATAGCAATGCATTACAAAGTTTTTCGAAAGCATGTTATGGTTTGCACTTTCATGCATGACTCTTCGCTCTATAGGGGAGCTCCAAATAAGATTATTGTGCCGCGTTCTCGGGTACTTGGCATTTGCCAGTATAATCTTGCGATAAGGACCACATATCTTTGTGAAAATATAATTAACTTTGTTACTACAATAGTAATCGGAAACAAATTTACTCTCACCATTTGCACATTGGTGGAATTGGTATCCATGGTGGTTTGTATACTCTTCTTCATGATTTTTGGGACTCATGTGCAATCGATAGTTCCAATAGTGCCGCCAACAAATGGTGACGATGACGAAGCAAAAATTTGGAAAACTAACAGAAAACATCGAACGGTTGATTGCGTCTGTTATGCGATGAATACAACAGTTTACTGACGACTGACTCATGGACATCCCCATTGCAAAAAATCGCGAGGCGGTTAGAACCTTTAAACATTTTAATAGTGTTAAGACTAAGAAAAATATTGAAAAAATATATTATTACCTATTTCTCCGTAGACAATGCTGTTATTCTTCTTCCTTTTAGTTGACAATCTAGTTCAGAAACGATTTCTTCAACTAAATCCGGCGAAACACGGTAGCATCCAAATGAAAAGGATCTTCCGCTTCTCGACGCAAACTTCTATCCGATGGGTAGGATACCTCTTCATCTTGTGATAAATCCTATGCCAAATATTCAAAAGCCATTTATTTTATTATTTTATTTTTATTTTTGTATTACTTAGACACTTTACTCTTTTATATGAAATAACAAAATTTTGTCGATATCGCTAACAACTTAAAAATATTCGTCGCTTAGTTAGCGATTTTTCGAGTAGTTTACGACAACAGCGAGAGCGAATATCGTTAAAACAAGTACACCGAATATTAAAATCGTTAGAATTATCGTTAAGTCTTCTTTGCGATCCGAAAATCGTTATACTGAGCTTAGAGAATAGCAAAATCGTTAAAATTATCGTTAAGTCATTATAACGATCCGAAAATCGTTATAATACGATAGAGAATTGCCCTACCGGTGTGATTTTTTTGAAAGTTTTCCACCTAGTCAAAATCTGAAAAATTTAAATGAAAAATTCGAAGAATTTGCATCCGGCAAAATATAAGAAAAAAATATTAATTTTAATACTTATTTGCTGTCCGCTGTTGAAGTTTCACCGATTTTTGTAATCAAAATTTCTTCATTATTTTAGTATGTATTCAAGTCAAAGTCTGAAAATTTTCCTTACTAATAATAATTTTTTATTTTATATTTCCAGGTATGTATTGAGACCATTCCAATTTGTGTGTATGTACATGCATATCTATGTAGAAATGTCGTTATTATACTACGTTTTGCCCGTCTCAAGTCCTGGATTATTGAGAGGGTAAAAAGTGGTCACTTTTCCGAACGTAAGTATGTCTCTTGCTAATTTAATATATAATGATTATATATATTCCTAGATATATAAATATATATATGCATATATGAAAATCGTATGAAATGATGAAAATATTTGCTGCTCCTTTATACTTAATTCGTGAAAAATAGGTTTTTTAGGATTTTTTGATAAATCGATTTTAATCGTGATTAAACCCGAGAGTAGTTGTATAATGGGCTATAATATTGTATATGTATATGTAAATGTTTTCAGATGTATGTAATTTTGAGACTTTTATATTTTGCATAAAAATTCTATAAATTCAGTTCATACTCTTTAAACCGTTAAAACGTCTCTCTTTCACTATGAAACTTCTATCACGTCCAATTATTCTCTGACTTTCAAATTAACTTCAATGGTTTTGGTAAGCAAATTTCTTTCAATTTATAATCGAAAAGTAGTTTTTCTTCGATTTCACTTATTTCACTTAAAAATCCACAAATCAAATGATTGAATGAGGGAATTCACAGTGAGACTGATTTCTTCGTGTGTTTCTTTTGCTTTGTTTGCAGGTATGCTTCCTAGTCCAGATTCGAAAAGAAAATTACATAAAATGTCAGAGCTAAACTGAATAAAAAAAAAACTTTGAATGAAATAAAAGCAAAAAAAAAACATACATATACATATTTATATACATTACATGTAACAATAAAAATCGCCTGAATGCATAAAAGGGAGGAGTTGACATTGAATGCGAATATTAGCGCCAAAAACAGCAGCTCATCAAATTGAATTAAATTCAATAACAACAATAATAAACTCCTGCCCTCAAGGAAGCTGAGAAGTCGCGAAACCAAATCACCAAACAACAAAGAATACGAAATTCAAATGAGAAAACCGAAGAAAAAATCGTTTCGAATTTTAGAATAACAAAAACCAGAAGCACGGCGAAACAGTTAATCAGGAATATTGTGATGTAAGTGTTGATGTTGATTGTTGTTACATATGTATGTATGTATTTTGCCGGTATGTATTGTACGTATGAGTGTATGTATGTTGGTTGTACTTATACTTATATATATATATATATATATAATACATTACTTAACCTTAAATCTAATCCAAATACAGTTAATTAGGTTATTAAGTATGTTGATCATTACATAGATTTAGCAATAACAGCTGTAGAGCTGCTAAAGGGGAAATAACTGTCTTCTCTAAGATGCGTATGATGAGGCCTTAAGTTCTACTTTATCTAAATTGAACAAAGAAGCGAATCGTATGAGTCTGGTCTGGTAGTGAAACAGGCCCTGACGAAATATTTCCAGCCATAACTCTGAAGTTGAAGTTCGTCTAACTTAGAACCAGTATTAGCATCAACAACAATGTCAGCCTTGAAGCCCAACTCTACAAGATTTTAGGGAAGATTTATTGTTCTTTCGATGCAGTAGCCGTCGGCAGAAGCAGAGAAAGAGTAAAGGCCTCCAATCCGTTGGAAGATTTGATAGAGAAAGTCATGGCTGCATTTGGTATCTCGAATTGTAAAGAAGAAAGTAAAGAAGAGGAAGAAATATGTATATTTTGTTTTCTTATTTGGTTATGGGATTCATATAGGACACATATCAGTCATGATCCTTAGGGAGAGATGTTATTTTCAAACGATTTTCGAACTCTCTTCATAAATCAGAAGAAAAATAAAAAGAGTTATATTGACATCTCCGATGTTCGTCTGGTCGGCACACGAAAGGGAGTAGCGCGCTCCGTCGCTCACTTGGCTTTAGCTGTCACTCTTAAGCAACTCATAATGCTCTTTTAATATTTGCACATCATATATTCATTAAAACGAAAATCTCAAGAAATTATACTCTTTCCGAAATTAGGCAGAATTGTACAGGTCTTCATTGGCCTCACCTATCGGTGTTGCGATTTACGCACTAGATCATACATACGAGTACATACGAGTGCATACATATGTGCGTAGTGGTGTGAATATTTCCTTGTATTATTTGATTATTATTTTTGTACGCTTATTGCCACTAGTGATGCAAAAACTATTGCTACACCTCAGTCTCAGTCTTATTGTTTCGTCTAATTAAGGAGCTTGAATAATTCATCATTGTCCCAATGAAATAGGCATTAATGAAACAAACAAACATATGTAGACATACACGTATGTACATACACGTATATAGAGGCGTATATGTCAACGCACATGTGAAGCGTAAATGTCTGTATGGAAAAGTCAAAATACGAAATTGCGAATGTCTCATTATTATTCGAAGCTCTAAGCGGCGTTTTTGAAATCTTTCAGCTGAGATACGATATTTCTATGGAAAATTATGTAAGAGAGCTATGATGATTTCTATTGTATTTTTGTAGTAAGAGCTGTTGTAAGCTTATTCTCACAGCAGCATGTAATATTCATACAAATCTCACAATGTTGCATTCTGTTTTGAATTTTTCCATAGTTAAGCATGAACCTAGATGTGCTGTAGATTATCTGTTGACTATGGGGTCAGGAGAACCGGTAGCCAAACGGGTGTTTCCATGTTTTTTTTTAATGAAATTATTCTTTCCGATGTTTGAACCTTGAGATTATATGTGAAACACTGCATCAAACATTATTCAAATTTCATTGTGTTGTGTGGCATATGGCACCATCTCAACTTCAATATCAGGCCAATAAAAAGCTCAATTATCATGGGACCATAACCTCCGAATTGACACTGTTAGACGTTGTCGTCTTCAAAGAATTAAGGCCCAATTACAACTTCGGACCAAAGAACGCACCTACAGTTAGTTTTATTTTATTTTATTTTATTTTATTTTTTTAAATTTTTTTTTGTGTGGTCTCGCCTATTATTTAAGGATTCTCAAAGCACTAAATGTGAAAATTCAACTTATTTAGGAATCCTCCGTATGAGAAATGAGCCTCGCCGCTGAACAGTATTCCGTTGGCCTCATTTGTTCTGCGTGCTGGACTTATAAGGATGTAGATTTAAGTCCAAGGGCAAAATGCGCCATAATGCGCCGTTAGGAAATGCCGTCATGAAATAGATATGTTTATTTGGGTCTTCGGCTACACTTTCACTTAGAGTAGTGATATTTGAGGTATTAAAGAATGATCAAAACGATGATGGATAGGCCATACGCTGCCTGTAACCCATCCTGTCTTAACGCGTTGTGCCGTTGCATTTTGCGAGTATATTTTAATAAATGTATAATTAAAACAAAATTTGATTGATTTCATAGTTAAGTTTGACAGATGTCAATACACAGCCCTGCATTTTGTAATCACGAAAGGAATAACCCCACATTTGTATATATTTTATGTACATATGTATGTCTATCATAGCCTATCTGCATACATACATATGCACATTTCTTGGAATGAAAGGGATTAAAATATAGTTTTGAGGAGTTATTATCCCCTATGTACATATGTATGTATGTACATATCTATATACATACAATGTGCAATCACAATTGTTAAATATAAACACATAAATATATACACTAGCTCCCCACTGAGGGATGTCAGGGGAATAAACGTCACTCTTAGGTTTGATTCTTATTATTTTAAACTTTCGACCTCAATTAAGCTCTTCTGGCTTCTTCGCTTGATTTGATGCCCGCACTGTCTGCTCAGATGGGATTGTGTGAAGCGGCAGACCCCATTGAGCTCTCTTGTGTCAGTTAGGCTAGATAAATATAAGCGATTTGGCAATTTGTATACACGTTGTGGGTTCAGGCGTGGAGGTGACCACTCAAGGCAGTGAACATCATCAACCCGCCCATGAAAACGACTATGTCTCAGGATTGGCAAAGTTTTTATGTACATATGTACACAGCAGTGCATGCAATACATACTCAACTCAGGCCCATTTGAGCTTACATATATTTTTGCATATTAAATATAGTAAATGCATGCATACATACATATATACATATGTACTGTACACATGGACTTTTCTGAATAGAATGATGTGGTCTCCACAAGTGCCATATGTACGTATATTTTTATAAGAGTCGTTATAAACAGAGAAAGCGTAAATATGTTTTTATTTTATATAAAGAGAGGCAAGTGTTCCAAATTGCTAGATACATAGTATGCACATACATACATACATACATACATACATATTTGCTATGGAAGAGAGATTCAAATTTTTGCGCACACTCCTTTCTACATTATCAATTGATACTCGTATATAAAATGATATGTACATACTATACACATAAGTACATACATATGTACATATGTATTTATGTATATAACTCGTGAGGTTATCGAAAACGAATATTGTCTCGATAGGCAGAAACAGAGCCCGTGAAAACGTTTGCCTATTTTACATATAAACCATCGGTCATATACATCCATATGTACATATGTATGTAGGTAGGCTATGGAAACAATATAAATTTAAATTTGTATCCAATTGCCAAAGTGATGCAGCTATCTAAGAAATAGTGTAATAAGTTTTATCTAACATTTAAATAAATTTCCCAAAAAAAAATTTTTATATTTTATGTAATTAACAACAAAAACAAACTTCAGTATTAAATTGTTCCTCACAGCGAAAATGATGCGGCGTCTCATCGACGACTTTTGAATGCAAAATGAATACCGCTATAATCGCGAGCAAACTCGGTGTAAAATGAGACAATTTTGACATTATAGTATTGGCATTGGTTGAGTGTAAATCAAAATGGGTTGCCAAACAAGTATTGAAGTGCGCGAATTAATCCTAAAACATTATAAAGATGGCAAAAGTCAGCGTAAAATCGCGGAAATTGTGAAATTGAGCCAAGGAACAGTTCAGCATATCATTGAACGCTATGTTCGTGAAAGTCGTGAGTTAAATAAAACTAAAACGGCTCATAATAAAATATTTAACGAAAGTGATTCTCGAAGGACTGAACGGAAAATACGTGGAACCCCCCCTTAAGTGCTCCGGCTTTAGGTAAAGAAGTATTAAAATATCTTCGAAAAAGCTGTAACCCAGAAATCATACGAAAAATCCTCAGAGAAGCTAATTTCAATGGCTCATATGTCAGTGCTGAAGTTTACAAAGGACCACTTATATAGAGATGAAAGTTTCTAGAACACCGTAATTTTTGCAGACGAAAGTAAATTCAACCTGTTCAGATCAGATGGATAGAGCTATGTATGGAGAAAACCAAATGCTAGGTTACAACCGCAAAATTTACGTAGCACTGTAAAACATGGTGGAGGGCATGTGATGGTATGGGGATACATATCGTCTTCTGGAGTTGGAAATTTGTATTTTATCAATAGTACTATGAATAAGACTGTGTATTTGGACATTTTAGAAAGAAATTTGTTGCAAAGTGCCTTAGAATTAAATATTCGTGACAAGTGTCGGTACTATCAACATAACAATCCGAAACACAAGACAGGCGTTGTGCAAAGCTTGCTTATTTGCGACTGTCCGCAGGTAGTACAAACCCCAGCGCCGTCTCCAGATTTGAATGCGATTGAGAATCTGTGGTCAGTTTTGAAAAGAGAGATTCGAAAATATGAGATTTGAAATCAAGCCGACTTAAGAAAAGACCTACAAAAAGAATCGAACAATATTGTTCACGACTACACGAAGATGTTAATGGAATCCATGGCCAAACGTGTGAAAGCAGTTGTAGACAGGAACGGGTATCCTACTATATATTAGTTAACATGCAATTTTAGTTTTATTCTTTAAAAAAATGCGATTTATCAATTTTTTTGTTACTACATCATTTGCGCTGTGAGGTACAATTTGATGGTGAAGTTTGTTTTTGTTTTTAAATACATAAAATATATATAAATAAATATATTGTAAAGCATATGTAAGTGAAATGTGTATATTTGCCGCTATTAACTGTCATTCATGTTTTTTGGAAAATTTATTTAATTTTTAAATAAAACTTAAACAATATCGTACAAATCTGCACCACTTTCGCTGTGAGCCACTGCATCGGTGTATATACATTTGTATGTATGTACATACATGTACGTAGTACCTACTGGATACGTACGCACGCCCGTCCTCCCACTATAGAAACAAAATAAATTTACATTTGTGCATATACCATACGTACCGCGGTATCCACATGCATATGTACGTATGTACATGCACATATGTATGTATGTATGGTGTATGTACATGGGTATTTATTTTTTAACGCCTATTTAAGGTATTATATTTCAAAATACTTTTTTTATTCCAAATCGCACAAGTGTCACAAGTGTTGCGGCTTCAGGTATAACGTATATATGCACATATTCTGTACATATGTAGTTGGATTAGGAAAGGATGCAATTAAGAGTCCTTGGAAATTGTCAGGTCGGAATTTTATATAATCTGATTCGCTATTACAAAGGAAATGGGTCGTGAAAGCGAGAAATGAAAGCATTCATTCCATTTTTTTGGATGACCTTACTCCATTACAGATGTACTCGCATGTAAGTACATATATAGACATGTAATAGGAAAAAAAGAAAATGATTGCGATTGTAAGTGAGCAAAATAATACAACGAGACGGCCTAAAACTTGAAAATTATCACTGCCTGAATATATACATACATACATGCATCAACTGAGCGAAACAGTGTTACCAGAATTTTTTCGCTGAAGTGTCATGCCAGCCAGCCTGAATAGTTTATTATTTTTACCATACTTGCCAAATTTATACTAATAATAAACAATAATTTCGAAACAACTGGAAGTCATTTTTGCTTTTCAAATTAATTTTCATAAAAAAAGCAAGCAATCGGGATGTTATAGAAACCGACGCAGAATTGCTTATTTATCGGAATTGAACAACAATGTCTGTTTGAAATAGTGTTATGAAACCGACTTGATTTCGGTTTTTTCGAAGATAAGCAAAACCTATATTCGAATCAACTGTAAATACACCGTTGCAAAAAACCCAGCAATTCAATTTAATTTTTGTACTGGTTTTGATGCAGAAACCAGCCAGAAAATAAAACCTTACGACCATCTCTTGTCTTTCGCACTCGTTGACTCTTTGCTAATTCTAAATTCATTTACAAATTTCACAACGCGAAGCGGTTATAATGAATGAATGAATGATTGCATTAACAATAACAAATGAAAAACGTCTTAAGCCAAAGCTTAAAATGTGATAAATCAAAATATAAACGCATATCTGATTTCATCCTATATCGCATTAAAGGGGTGTGTTTGATTCACAAAGGAATTTCAAAAAAGTTGTTTGTTTTTTATGTATTCTAATCATTGTCGCAAAACAGTTAAAGAAGGCTTTTGTGACGTCATCGTCGAGTTTGATTTTGTCATAAAAGTGTACCTTTTGCGGTTTTTTCTTGACATGCTTTGTGAAGAGTTGAATTCGCTTTGATTATTTACATGAGCGAAATTTTGGGTTTGTGTGTTTTGCTAAATCTATTACTATTTTTTTTTATTTAATGCAAAAATATTAACACTTTGTGAATATAACTCTGTGTTTTTTGTTTATTGAAAAGCTTCTAATTGATGATATCAAGGAAGCATTTGGGATTTAGAACTTTAGCGGTTTCTAATAAGCTCTGCAGATTTATATTAATAAAATGAGCAGGAACAGGTAATGCGATCCAGTATTCTTCCATGTATTGTATATGAATACCATATACTTAGGTATGTAGGATTGTATGGTAATCATATATAGTTGGTTAAAAATAATTATTAATTATATGAACAGCCATCATATAAAAAAGAACTAAAATACTAGCGATTGTCTCCTGTTACAATATTGTAGGTCTACGGAAGACGTTTCTCCACCTAATTTCACAGAACGGAAAAGTGGCTTCTATGAACGCAGTTCCCGCATAGTTGCAGATAACGACTCATATTTGCGTCGTTCGAATCACTCGTATATCGGCAATATCGGTGGTGGTTATCAAACATCCAACAGTTTGTCGTCGTCGAGTGCAACAGCGTCTATACATGATACATCATCTACTGGTCAAATAGGCTCTGGTCCTAGCCAAGGTATTATTAGTACCACATGCGATAATCGCAATAAAGCACGTGAACGCTTATATAAAAATGGACCATACACACCAGCACAGTTAAACGAGAGGCAAGTAAAAAGGGTGTAAAATATTGTAGAAAGATCATCGAAACTGCCGATTGCTTTATATCTTTCATGAACAAGTTCGCAATAGAAATTTTAAATTTTTATAATAAGCCAATATTACATATGTACGTACATATATTGCGGATATATTTAGATTTAACGTCTTTTGGAGAGTCTAACTTTTGTTTTATTTTGGTACTATGAATCTCTTTACCTATATAAGTGAGTATGATATTTGGATTTCATGAAAGGTATAACAACATTCGATGACAAAAATGGAAGATGTTAGTGTGATAAAAAGTAAATAAAAAAATGTACGTTACAGGAGTTCCAACGGTGCCACCATCAACAATTATAACCGTGCTTTCTCGTCGTCATGGTACGACGCTGCTACGACGAACACGAACGGTCCTGGTGGCAGTGGCAATGCCGGCGCCTCAACAGTAGGCACCAGCAGCAGCAACCACAATTTTTATTCCACCTCAAATTTAATCACCACACCTGCCTCCTCAATCAATCCAGTAATTGCGAGCAGCATCGCGACGTCTTATCAGCGGAACAATTACTACGGCCCTGCGCCGGACACTGGCGCTGCGTCGCCACATATAACAACAACAACATCATCCGCGGCTGGTGCTTACTGGATGAAAAATAATACAAAACTGTGTAGAGTTGCAAAATCATCATCCCGCATTGGCTCGGAATCCCCAAAAAATCCATTTACAACAACTTCGATAGCTGCGGTGACAACGGCAACGACGACGACGATTACGTCGATAAAAACGTCATCAGATATAGCGGGGATGGTTATGGGAATGGGTGCACCAACTACAGCTTCGACCACATCCGCGGTTGCAACAACAAATAGTAATAGTAGCAGTTGTAGTACAATCAGTAGTAGTTATAACAGTAGTTTAAGCAGTATCAGTAATCCAACCCCAACAACGCAAGCGACTCCCAACACGCCAACGTCATCATCACAGTCACCTGCTGGAAACCAAACAAACGGTAACAGTAGTAATGGGATAACCAATGCCGCAAATTTACACGCGGCTGCAGATGCTGAAAATCTGCATTTTATAAATAGGGCTGCCACCAATAATAATACCACCTCCTCTTCCACAGCTCTTGAGTTATCCAATGTAAGCAGTACACCGCTCTCTGTGTGCTCGCAAAATACGGATCAACAGCCACATACAGGACGTCGACGCCATCGGTTGCATGGTCGACGTACGACATCGTCGAGCCGTTCGCACTCTCGTTCGCCCAGCAGTTACAGCTCGTCGCATAGCTCCTCCTCATCGTCAAACACTTCATCTCATTCACACGCATCAAGTCCCGTTAGAGTTGGCGATTCTAACCTGTCTCGATCTACAGGTGGGCTGCCAAGAAAGTCTCGGCAAAATTTACAATCAGCAGTTACAGCTCCAGCACAAGGTATGAACTGCCGCTTAATACATACATATTTATGTATAAATCTTATACGTTCATTCATCGTCAACCAAACATAGAGCCTCCATATTCCATTAGAGCACTCTTCAAAATAAAATATGATTTAACTCTAACTCGATTAATGTAAAAAGAATATTTGGCACACCTAAAATGCTAAGAAAAATACATAAACCCTTTTCTAAATTTTAAGGTATACAATCTTTTAAATATGATTTTGAACTTGAACCAGGGACAGAAAGACGAAAACGAATCAAGGTATTATAAGACCAAGGCAAATGAGGCAGTTTAGGTTAGAATAATCGATGCTATCAACCTTACAATCTTCTTAAAAGTGACCGACCACGCCTACTTTTGATATGTGTAAAATTGAAACGTTGGTTTGTGTTTAGATGGGCAAAATGGAGTGTTGTGATACATACATACATATGTATTTACCAAAATTATACAATAGCCTCCCTTTTTAGCACTAACCATGTATATATGTCAATAATTATGATTGTGTTGGTTTCGTTCTTTTTCTTCTATTTTGTTTGCTTTTTGAACAGGTACAACAGGTGGAATGGCGGGTAGTGGCACTGCCAGCAGCAACTCCAGCAGCAGCAGCAGTAGCAGCAGCGGCAATAGCACAGCTTGTAACACTGTCAATCCCATTGTTCATTCCGAAGACAATCGACCGCTCGCTATCTGTGTGCGAAATTTACCCTCTCGTTCCTCGGACACATCCTTAAAGGATGGCCTCTTTCATGAGTACAAAAAGCATGGCAAAGTCACCTGGGTAAAAGTGGTAGGCCAAAATTCGGAACGCTATGCTTTGGTTTGTTTTAAGAAACCGGATGATGTGGAGAAAGCATTAGAAGTCTCGCAAGATAAACTCTTTTTCGGTTGTAAAATAGAAGTTGAACCTTATCAGGGCTACGATGTGGAAGATAACGAATTCCGGCCATACGAAGCTGAGCTAGACGAATATCACCCGAAATCGACGCGCACTCTTTTCATTGGCAATTTGGAGAAAGAAATAACCGCCAGTGAGCTGCGTAGCCATTTTGATTGCTTCGGTGAAATCATCGAAATCGATATCAAGAAACAAGGTACACAAGCGTACGCTTTCTGTCAATACTCAGATATAATTTCTGTGGTTAAGGCAATGCGCAAAATGGATGGCGAACATCTCGGTGGCAATAGAATTAAACTGGGTTTTGGCAAGTCAATGCCTACCAATTGTGTGTGGATTGACGGAGTGACGGAGAAGATATCGGAGTCGCTGCTACAGTCACATTTCTCCCGTTATGGCACCGTGACGAAAGTGATGGTGGACCGACTTCGGCAACTGGCCTTGGTCCTGTACGATCAAATACAATATGCGCAAACAGCTGTAAAGGAAATGCGCGGCGCAACATTACGCGGCCGCCGATTGCAAGTGGATTTCGCTTCGCGTGAATGTCAGGATGCTTTCTATGATAAGCTGGAGAAGCAGAATGCAGGTGCGAAACGACATAAAAGTAGAGTTTCTCATCTTTTCGAACATATGAAAATAAATTTAATTATATTCTAAAAATATATGTACACATGTATTGTATCTAAGTATATTTATACAAATACAATGTTTTATTTCGAATTGAAAGTCTCTTTTGTATGGTTGACGTCTGAGTATCTTTCAACTGTATTTTTAAAACTATCGACAAGACAGTAACAAAATTTGGTATAAGTCCGAAGGCGTGGCACAAAACAACACTTCACACCTGTGGGTACAATTAGTTGGTTTTGTACACATTGACAAGTGGGCGTGGCTCATCAGTTGTATCGGTTACTTTAGAATACGTAGCTATTTCGTTTTCCATAGACCGGTCTTGGGGGACAGAATCTGTTTGTTTGGATACAATGTACGCAAAATTTTCGAACCGTGTTATAGTCGCAGCTCTAATTAACGTTTGTATAGTAACTCTTCCCAACCATAGTATGAATGAACCGACCCATTACTTTTTCACCATGTATTTTTTTCTTTAACTCCATTTTGTGCACAAAATGCTTATTATTTTTTTCTCTTTCTTATTTTAATTTTCTTTTCATAGGCAATCGGTTACACCGTTACGATTCACAATCGCGTTCGCGTGCCTCCTCCTTCAGTCGTCATCAGAACTCGAACGATGGGTGTTCACCCAGCAACACACCCGGCAGTAGCAGCAGCTGTAGTAGTTCCAGTGTAACATTAACTACAACTGGGGCGTCTGCACCTGCACCTTCGTTACCATCCTCAATCGTCGCCAGTGTGGGTGTTGGCAGTAATTCTGCAACGTCGAACAGCACGACGCAAAATTTGCCCATGTCGGGTAACTCGACACCGGCCCGTAATCGTGGGTCGCGCAGCTCACGGCACACCGTGGACTATGATTACCTGGATATGCGACGATTCCGTTCCTATGACGAGTATAGCCAAGGTTCGGGTGCTTCGCATGACGAGGATGCCGCTGCTGGTTCGCATGGTGTGTATGCGACGGTTGGTAGCGGCGGTGGCAGTGGCGGTGGTTTTAGTGTCGGCCTACGATCTGATTCGCCCTTGCTGTCACGTTTGGGCCCGATCGTTAGTGGCGGTAGTGCTAACCCAGCACCAGGTGCGCATGAACGAGTAAATGAAACGCTTGAAGTGACGGTGAACAGCAGCAGTGGGCGCCGTCGTTGTGATAAAAGTCCTGCGAAACAAAAAGGTAACAATGACAACAATGATAACAACAATCTGCGTTATCTTCTTTTAGAAATTGAAAATATTGAATATTTGTTTTTTTCTTGCAGGTGATATAAGAATTCTACAAAAAGAACGTTCCCATCTTTTAGAGCAACTTGAAGAATGCCCGTCCAGTGGTGATGAGAGTATAGTGAGTCCGCGTAAGCGCATTAAAATCGATCATCATCATTCCATGAGCACCAGTAGCGGACTGGTAGGTTGAGATTGATTGTTATCAATAATTTAACGAAACCGCTCCGTGAACTTTTATTAATTTGTTCGTATTTTATTTTGTGAATTGCAGTCTCAGTTACATATGGCGGAGACGGGAAACGGCACTGGCGTTCAACATAAAAGTAACCTAAGTTCCAACTGTGATGCCAACGAATATGATGTCCCGGCAGTAACCGGGCAGCGGAAGAGTGAAGTTCGCCGACTTTCAGACCCCAGTTTCAAATACCATCATCCAGCTCAGTATCAAACACATTCACACTCAACGCAGCCATATCAGCTACAACTGGTGCGCCGACCGTCCATAGATATAACGGCGACACTTGGCGTTGGTAGCACCGGCTCCGTTTCTGCACGCCATGGCAGTGTGAGCAGTACTGGTTCTGGCAGTGATCACCACCATCAAACATCGCATTCGAATGCTTCCGGGGGCGGTGTGCTTTCGAGCTCGTTACCGTGTAAGCGCCGAAGAGTCGCAGGTACAAGCAGCGGCAGTGGAAACGGCAACAATGGTATGCTTTCTAACTCCACAACGACATGTGGTATAGGTTTATCTAACAGCACTGGCTGCGGAAATGCTGGCGGTAGTGGAGGTGACGATTTTCAGCAGCAACACACGAGTTCCCGAAGTCGTGGCCATCCAATACATTCCCATCATTCACATGAACCCAGTGGCGGCGATAGTGCCGAAGGCTCACGTCCCGGCACACCACTCTTTGATGAGCGTCCCGAAGTATTGCCGAGCGATCCACGGCGTGTGTCGCGTGAAAGTCGGCGTGAGCCGCTCTTATTGCCACTGCCAAAGTTCGGTATACAGTTCTTTCATCAATACTGCAAAAATCCGGCGGGACAATCTATTTCAAGTACAGCAGGTCACAATGGTGGCAATACGACGGGCTTTCATCACAGCAGTGCAAGTTTGCTCTCCTCCTCATCTATGGCGACGTCCAATACCAGTATTGGCTCGCACGTTTCACCAAGCAGCAACATCAGCAGCAGTAGTCATTCTAGTCATAGTGCTCTACCAACGACGACGACGACTTCAACAGCGTCTGCAGGTTCCGCCGCGATACCAGGATATCCCTTACATAGTCCATCTACTCGTTACTCGTCACATTGGCGACCGCATCAACATCACCAACAGCATGGACATGGGCACAATCATTCAGTGCATACACACTACAATCAAGGAACTGGTGGGGTAATGGCCAGTCCCTTGCGACCACGTTCACTCAGTTCAAATTCTAGCGATTCGGATATCCCGGGGCAAGCAAGTGGTAGTCCATCATTGGAAGAACGCATACGCACCCTAGATGAGATGTATGAGCGTTGGTCTGGTAGTGGTACCGGCGGCAGTAGTGCTGGCATCGGTCCAACTCCTGGAGCCAATGTCGTTAAACGTCATGACTTTGGGGGCTACGGTGGCCCAAATATATTTCGGCACGGTCAACGTAGTACTGAGCACCATAGTAATGTGCATGTCACTGGTAACAGTGGGGCAACATCTGCCACCCCAACTCGTTACAAGTTTCCTGATCTTGATGTCAATGAACTGAAACCGTCTGAAATTGTGAAATCCGTTCTAGCGAAAAAATCAATATTTGATGATGACTTACAGCGACTGAAGAAAAATCAATGGTATGAACCGTCTTCGGATGCTACGCAATTGGCAAAACATATAATGGGAGTTTGTACGTCACCTGGGCTTCCCAATTTGGCAGCCACGAAAACGCCTGTTGTTGGTTGTACTACCACGAGCAGTGGAAATGCTGCGGTGAGCAAACCATCAGGAGCACTTTTGCAGCGACTTAGTAGTCTTTCGCCTATGAACTCGCCACAGGCATCAATATCGCCGTATAACAGTCCGTCACCCTCGCCATCGGTAAGTGCCAGCTTGGCGACAACATCCCAATCTTGCGCGCTCAAAGTGATAACTACAGCGGCGACTACGGCGAGTAATAACAACAGCAGCCTAGTGAGTAGTTCCAGCATTGTGTCAACAGTTGCGTCGGCAAATAGCGCAGCTGCTGCCATGAAGGGTCTGCAATATCCGTTTCCCAGTCATCCGCCCTTACCGAGCACGGCCGCACCTCTGCCTATTGCTCAACCTGCGCCGCCAGCTGGACCAGCACCATCGGACTTACCACAACCGAAAAAATCGCTGATACCGGCATCAGATGCAACCATTCTAAGCACGAGTGGCTCTCGAGTGAAGATAGATTCGATTACCAAAAGTCTTAGTGTACCATGGGGGACAACCAATAATGCTCATGGCGGTAAAAGTGATGGTGGTCGAGTACTGACCAAATCAGTTTCAGTTCCTGGTAGTACAAATATTGGAACAGTGAAGTCCATAAATTTACATACAGCTGCAAGCGACACAGGGCATCATGTCCTAAGTAGGAGTTCTTCAGCTGCTGCGAGTGCTAAGAACGAAGAGGAACCAACAAAACCCTCAAAGCAATCATCAAACAATCTGGCGACCACTTCGAAAAAAAGCGAGCGCACATCTCACAAGCACAATCATCGCAATGAAAATGACAAGCGGTCCTCTCGAGGGGAGCGTGCATCTGAGAGACGAAAAAACTCTACAAATTCACAACTTTCGGGAACTTCATCCTCTACACCTCGAGTGGAAGGCGACTCGAGTGAAAATGAGGAGAATGATGGTGAAAAAGTAGAGATGGTGGAAAAGATAGAAAAAGCAGAAAAAGCGGAGAGAGAGCGCAGAGACCGAGAAGTTGATAAAGAGAAAGATAAACAGCATAAAGAACGTGAGAAAGAAAAAGAGCGACAGGAGCGTGAAAAGCGGGAAAGAGAGGTGAGAAAACAAAGGGAAGAGCAGGAGGCACGGGAACGAAGAGATTGTGAAGAGCGCGAGCGAAAAGAACGTGAGGAGCGCCAACGTCGAGAGCATGAAGAACGTGAGCGTGTATTAGAAAGAGAGAGGGTACAAAAGGAGCTCGAACGCAAGCACCTTGAACGTGAGCAACGCGAAAGAAAAGAGCTTGAGGATCGCGAACTAAAAGGGCGCGAAGAAAAATTGGAGAAAGAGCGTAAAGAAACGGAAGAGCGCGAACGAAAGGAGCACGAAGCGCGACAGCGAAAAGAACGAGAACGTGATGAGCAGCGGCAGCGGGAGCAGAAACTGAAAGAGGAACGTGAACGACGTGAAAGGGAGGACGTGGAACACAAAGATACGGAGCGTAAGGAACGGGAACACAATCGGGAACATTCACGAAAAAAATCTGACTCGGTTAGCACATCTGATGACGCTAATCACCAACATACGTTTAGTAATAATCAAACCGAAAATGAGAGTTTCTGTCAGATCGCCGATGTTGAACGTCAAAATAACAAAGAAAACGCTGTAGATGAACGGAAAAGCCCGACGACTGTTCAAGTTTCTGGTAAACATCGTGCAAGAAAGTCCTCACGAAACTCACCAACGCGTCAACCAAAACGACGACTCAGCTCGCAAGACAGTAATCACGGCAGTCTAAGTGGTCACACGCCCATAACTGAGGACCCGGCAAAACGTTTACGTATAGATACTCAACAGGCGCTAAGCGCCACCTGCGTGCAAAAAAGTGAACGGCAGCCTTCAAAGGAAAGGTCGCATGGCACCGATCAGATGTCGAAACAGTCAAGCGGAAAACATCATCATCAGCAGCGTACTTTCAACCAGACTGTGGTAAGTAATGCAGTGGCTGTGGACCCAGCTATGGGCTCCGTAGAAAAACTCAAGCCCAAGGACCATTCGAATAAGCACAGAAGCAGCAAGCACCACAGACACCAAATGCATCAACACCAAGCCAATACCAAAGACAGTAACAAATGCGAAGATAATAACCCAACTTCAACGACTGCAGTGGCTTCAATTGCAACGCCGGCCGGTGCGACGGCAGCTAAGGTCAATCATCATGAAGACATTTCAGATGAAGAGCAGGAGAGTTCCACTATTCATTATCAGAGTAGGCATTCATTGAACTCTAGTGGTGACGAAGGCACCATGCTGACGCAACAAAGATTGGCGACGAGCAGCAGTCAATACAAACAGCGTGACCAAAGCACTGGTGGTGGGAGCCACCATGTGCGCCATAAAAGCAAACGGGAGCATAGGGAGCGCAAGCGACCTTCAACTACGGAGTCTGTGGTATCAGCAACATGCAACAACTTGACAGATGAGGAACTGACGCAAAATCCAAGTAGACGAACATCGGTTGCAGGCTCTCAAAGTGGTGATTTGACCACATCCTTACAAAAGTGTAAGCAGGATGGTCAGAGAAGTGCGGAACGCAAGTCCTCACGGTGTTCGGATGAAGGACTTACTGTGTCCACGCCACAGCAGCAAACACATCATCGACATGGCAATAACGCGAAAGTTACCCCTTCACGGCGAGTGATAATGAGTTCGGGTGACTCGGACGATTCAGATGACCCTACAAATAGCGGGAAAAAACATTCGATTTTCGACATACCTGATGACGGTCCCTACGTTTCGATGTACGACAAAGTGAAGGCTCGCTCTTGTAAGAATATGCAAAAGCACGAAGAAGAGAAGAAGATCAAAGCGAAGTTCACGCAGTTGAAACAATCACGTGCTAAGCGAGAGGAAAAGAAACGCTCAACCAGCTACGAAGGCGATACCGACTCTGACTTCGATGAGCGGAATCAGCGTAGTGGCGGCAGCAGTTCCTACAAGTCCTCACGTAATCAAACCAATCTAACATCCTCCTCCGATGACGATGATGCTACAAATATGGGCGCATTACGTCGGAGCTCCCAAGCATCTCTACATCCTCAACGAATGTTCTCCGACTCGGATTCAACGACCACCGCTGAGGCGGAAGCACGTCGTAGCAAACTGCACCACAAGCTCATGCGCATGTGTGATGATGATCGTGAAGACAGTTCCGAGGACGAAATACGTAAGTCAATGACATCGTCGTCTAACAAAGGCCGATCTGTTAAGCGGAGTTCCCAATCGACATGCATAGCATCCGATTCTGAGTCGCAGTCGCAACTTACAGCTGACATAAAAATTAAGCAGGAGTTGACTGATGAAGAGGAGTGTGACAACAAATTCAAACTGCAAATAAAATCGGAAATTCAGCGTACAGAAGCCCCAGTGCAGACAGATGATGTTAAGCTAAAGCAACCGTGCATAAAAACCGAAGAAGAATCGAATTCTGCGCAGACGGAAATCAAACAAGAGTTCAAACACTTCCCGATCAACGCAATGGTCGAGAATTCTGACTACGATTTGCCTTTAGAACATTCGATGTCGAAATCGTCCATGAAAACACAGCAGCATGGCACACAAGAGTCCCGAAAGAAGCACAAGAAAAGCAAGAAACGACAAAAGGGCTCACTACCTTTGTCAAATGTTTCTTCGGCGCACAGCATTGTTGAGGCCAAGAATGTCTTGGTTACCCTTACACCCGGCTCCTTCCAGATTATGAACTTCATGAGCACACCTGAGACCAAAGTGAAGGCTACGCTCTCGCCGACATACGACCCATTCGACGAATTGAAACGTGATTGTTCGCCCTTGTCTACAACAACAGCAATAGCAACAGCTACAACAATCTCCACAGGTCATGTAAACAACGGAGCAAATGAGTTTTCAGCAAGTGAGAAGAAGCGACATAAAGAGCGCAAGGAGAAGAAGCGTGAGAAAATGCGTAATATGAGCGATGGCGGCGCAAGCATTGATTCGGATAAGATGTCTAAAGAGGAGCGTCATCGCTTGAAGAAATCGAAAAAGTCGAAGAGCCTAGACGTAACTAAGATGCTAAACGAAACACCGATCGCAATAAAAGCAACGCCGACGTCATCAATAATATCTGAATCGCCGCCAACTCCACCACCCCAAGAAGAAACAACACGACCTTCGACAGGTATACCCTTGTCCGCCGCCAAACGCGGTGAGAAAATGGAAGATATCTTTGGTCCGATATCGGACGAGGAGTCTCAGCATACGGATGGGGAGTGCAAAGAAGTGTCTTCAAATTTCTCGACCGATAGTTATGGCACTCTCATGACAACGTCCACTAACATAACCGGACCGGTAGTTTCGGCCGCCTTGAACCCATACAAGCAGGATCCCCTTACACCTAAATCACACACAGTTGAAGAAAATGAAGAGAATAAACAGAAGGCTTCTGCTGTCGTTGGTGATATTGGTGGTGGGCACATCGATCGTGAACGTCATCGAAAGGAGAAGCGTGAACGACGGCGAAAAGAGCGCGAGAAATCGCGCGAGCAGCACGCCCTCTCGGCGTTACAGCAGCAGAAGCAACAACATGTTGATGATGAGAATAGTGTTGATCTTGACGAGGCCGGACGCGCGCTGGAAGCCCAGCTTATGGAAGATTCTGACAATAAGGCGACTGAAGATGCCACACCCTCCACAGCCACGACTTACCGGAGCGACATGACCGATGTGTTTCGCTTCTCCGATGGTGATGAAAATTCCATGGATTCGCCTTTACCGCGCAGAGACAAAGCAGACGCACACGAGGTAAATGTCACAATCCAAACACAATCGGTTGGGGCCGGCACGAATGCAACTGATGCAGCTACGGTCCCCCATATGAAGAGCAAGGAAAAAAAGAAAAAGAAAAAACGATCGAAAGAGGAGCGACATCACCATCAGCGGCGTGAGTCTAGCGCTTCAGCCGGTTATACACCACACCAATCCAATCAATCACAACAACAGCAGAACCAACATACAACCGAGCAGGTCCCAACGCCGTTGTCACAGGCATCGCAAATCACCATGTCACCACCTTCGACAAGTAAGCTTTCAATTGATGTGTTGGCCGCCAACGTAAAGCAAATGCAAAAATTGGAGAGCCAAATGCGGAAGGATGAAGGCGGGGACAATGATGTGACGGCGGCAACAAATTCAAATTCATCCATCTGTAAGCCCTCACCCAGTTTACCCTGCTTAACCGATGACGATATCGATTTAAGCAGCGTCTCATCCATTATACAATCAACAAAGTCTAATAGTGGTATGCTGTCCTTATCTCCGCTGCGCGACAAGAAGTTGATAAGCCCAATACCAAATACACCGACTACAAGTACAACGATCTTCGTAAACGATAAGTCGCATGCGGACGCTTGTGACCCTACTACATCACCAGAAAGTTCGCTGACAACAGCGGCCGCGGCAGCTTCATCTACGCCAACCACTTGTACAACGCCCGATAAGCCTTCCTCAGCAGTAACTGGAGAATCCTTCAGCGCCTCCCCCACTGCGGGAACACCGACCAGCAGCAAGAAGAAGCCCGAAATTTTCATACCCGGTTTTGATGGTAAGCTAGATGAAAAGATTAGTGAATCGGCTGTAAAGTCCATTTCGGTCGAGTTCAATACATCCATATTGGACGCCAATGCCGATGAACCGAATATACCGGTGGAGTCACCACCTGATCTCGCACCGAAGCATATGGATAAGACCGAGGATACGAAATCCAGAGTAACTATCTCGCAAGAGGAAACCGAAAGTGCTGTGTCCGCCTTATTGGGGGAGAGCTTTGGCAACTCTTCCAATATTGATTACTCGTTCCAAGATGACTCGCTTGAAGATGATTTGGCCGTGGTCGATAGCGTTAATGTCGGGGCACCCGAACCGGATGAAGAAGCAGCTATCGCTGCAAAGGCCATTGAGACAACTATCGAGCCCTTGCAACCAGAAGAGGATGCCGAAGAAGTCAACAAAGCCGTGCAGAGCCTCAGCACTGAAGAAATGGACGTTAAAGTCGATACACCGCAGTCTGAGCGTGGCCTGCAAATCGATACAGATACAGAAGAGAATGCTGATGAAGCTGACAGCAGCGGCACGAATTTGAAAATCGATGAGTCCGCCACATCCGGTGAAGTCTCCGATGAATTGGGTGAAAAAGAAAGTAAGTCTTATACGGACCTCAAAACGAGTCTTCATTTAACATTTAATAACTGTTTATTTGATTCAACAGAAAAAGAACCGAGTGCAGTCATCCCTGAGGCAGTTCAAGAAAAACAAAATAAAGCCTGCTCAGTCATTACAAAACTGGAAGCAAACAAGGTAGCCCAGCCTGACGAGGGGGTGACCAAAGTGAATTTATTGCCCCAATTGACTAAGTTGGAGCCACCGACAATCAGCAATTTAGTTCAACCCGCTGTGCAGCCCGTCAAATCAGTGCTTCCGTCCATGATCAGTTTGGAAACACCATCCACAACGAACGCCAACGCTGGACGGGAGAAGTCAGAATCAGCTGCGTCAGTAACTTCAGCTGCTATCACATCCACCTCCACAACTGTCCAGTCATCAACAGCAGCCAAAGTTACCTCGTTGGTTTCTTCGGTAGTGCAGCAAGAAAAGAGACCCTTTGTTGTTACTTCCTTGCCGAATTCACTCGCCACCCCACCCACCATCACCATACCAGAGCCTCCAGCCCATTTCGCCATACCACATCTATTGATATCCCCAAGAAATAGCGGAACCGCCACGTCTTCCAGTGGTGGCGACCATCAAGTCCTATCACCTAAAGGACAGCAGAAGCAGACGTCTGCACAATTGCCAGCGCATCCAATCTCAGCTTACACGGTAAATGTGCGCACACCATCGCCTCTGAGTCCCCACAAGCATGCATCTTCGCGTGGCAGTACACCAACGCGACAGCTCAGTCCGACTGCGGTTGCAATTGCATCACCAACACCAACAGCAAAGCCCCCACAGCAGCAACAACAACTGTTCTTGCATATCGGTGGCCAACGCCCCTCACCATTGCCACATCAGCAACAACAGCAGCAACCACAGCAGGGTTTGCTATGTTCACCAAACGGAAGCCCGCAACCGGCAAATTTGCCCGCAAGCCCAGCCGTGACAGTTGGAAGCAATACAAGTATCGGTGCATTGCACTCACCTCTACATTTGCAAAATGTAGATGGCAGTAATGTGGCCATCGGCGTTAAGAATCCTCTCTCTCCGCCTATTGGGAACAGTGCAAATATGGCAAATGCCCGCAATTCTGCGCCTCAACAGCCAGCGAAGTTGGTTATGGAGCAAAAGTCATGTGGACCCGTAGCTCTAATGCCCCTGACGGCATCGCAAATATCTGCACACCACACGATCATCAGCAAGGTAGTAAGTGTGCAACCTCAGCAGGCTCAACAGGCCACTATGTCGCCACCGCTGCCGTCTGTGCAAGTCAATGTGAAGGGCTCTTATATTGGCAGTCAAAGCCAGGTGATGACACGACCACAACAGCAACAACAACAATCACACACGTTGCCAGCTCAGCATGTTCTTCAACAGCAGCAGCAAAGGCTCTCGCCGCAAATGATTCAGTCTATGCAGAAAATGCCGACATATCAGCAACAACAGCCACCGCATCATTCACAACAACAACAGCACCAGCCACAGCAAACGCAACCACAATATATGCAGCAACAACATTTGTTGCAGCAACAGCGCCAGCAGATCCAGGAACAACAACAACAACAACGCCAACAACATCACCAACAAATGCAGCAGCAAATTTTGCAACAGCAGCAACAACAACAGCATCTGATGCAAAAGTTGCAGCAAAACATCCAAATCGCCTCACAGTCCGGAACAGCTGCAAAGCAACAACAGCAGCAACAACAACAACAACAACAACAACAACAACAACAACTGCAGCAGCGTCAACGCGTCTTGCCAACTCTGCAAAATGCTCAACAACAGCAATTTTCTCAACAACATAATCAGCAGCATCAACAACAACAAATACCGGCAAATCGACAAGTAGCAAGTCCACCAAATGCTCCAACTCCGTCGCCTCATCAAAACTTGGTGATTTTGCGATCGCAGCACTCGGCCACGGTTGGTGGAACCCCTGTAAGCGCTTTACCACAAAATGTCATACAAGCTTCTTTACAAGTACCACAAAAGTCGGAACCAATAAGTACTGCGCAGTTGCCAACATCACCACCTATGCAACAACTAAAACATCAGCCGCCGCAGCAGCATCATCATTCACAACAACAACCGCAACCACCAGTGAATACAATGGCTTCTATTGGACTACCGTTTACAGCGCAAGTACATTCCACTCAACCAAAAGATAACTCAAAACAATCAAACCCATCACAAGTGTGCAACCTGCAGCTGCCATCCTCGTCTCCATCCGCATCTGCATATGAGACAGTAAAACCGTCAATGACCATAGCAAATGTTGGCCCGACACCCCAGGCAAGTTCACAGAAAATGCCGATAGCTGTTGAGACCAAATCACCTACGCCTACTGCAGCAGCCACTGTAATGTCAAACCCAGCGCCAACAACAAAAACAAGTCCAACACTTGATGCCAATAAACAACAACAAAAGCCACCGTCTTCGCTTGTAGCCCATGTGAAGCCGACAACAAGAATGGCAGAAAGCGTCTCCGTTATTTGTAGTGTCGAAGGCAACACCGAGAAGGTAACAACCAAGATACCTTTTCCTCAGCAGAAACGAGATCCATCAATGCCTGCCCTGAACATCGAAGAGTCCTTGGTCCCCACGAAATCGCTAGATTCCGTTATAAAAAAGGTCGAAGTACCAGAGAATAGCTATGGACACAGCTTACCCATAATTCCACCACAGACAGAGATTGAGGCAAAACCCGACAAGCCTTCTGCCTCGATGCCAGTTATAAACCAACAAACATTGAACACCACAGAGAAGAGCAATGTGCAGCTACAGCATGGTATTAACACTCCAACTTCGACCCCTGTTGTAGAGGATGTGGTCAAAAATGCAATGCTTACAGCAGGTACAAAATATGGGAAAGTTATTGAGGATACGAGTAAGGCTAGATCACTCAGCTCTTCGGATTCGATAAATCTAACTTCTGGAGCAAATAGCACCGATCACGAAACTGAAGACGAGACGGAAACCAAACAGACAACTGCCTCCATGGGGGAGAACCAAGCAAGCGGTAATAATAGTTTGGGTCGTAATAATGTAAGCACTCGTGGCGGCACAGCTAAACGCGGGCGCCAGGCGCGTGGTGGAAAGAAACAGGTTGCCAATGTCGTTGCGCCCGTATTAGCAACACAGTTGTCGGTTCCTCCGAAAGAACAAACTGGAATCCAAACCCGGCTACGCAAACCGACAACGGCGGCGCCAGTGGTGCGGGGACGCAAAGGTCGACCACCTCGCAATCTTTTGGTACAACAACAACAACAACATCAGCAGCAACAACAACAGCAACAGCAACAACAGCAGCCACCACCGGCTGCAAAGTCACAAACCCAAATACCCCTTTCTGGCGAGCCATTCGATCAAGTGCAAGTGCCGAGCGGAAAGAGTGCGGCGCTGCCACCACCACAGCGTATCCATGCTTCAGCGAAAAAGACTGATTCCGGTGTTGTTGGTGGATCCGATGTGTATGAATTCCATGATGATTCCGGCGAAGAATCGAAAACACCGCAGGACAATGCTCACACTACAACTAGTTCCAGCGGTGGAGATGTGCGACCTCGTTTGATTTTGACCATTAAACCAGGTCAAAATGTTCCTATCGTGAAAGCCAGCGAAAAGCTCAGTTTCGCAGCTACAGTAGACGTCGCAGCCGCAAAAACGATCACATCGCCGCAGCAACATCAAGCTACCACTAACATAGTGACAACTGCCTCCCATCCTGAACCAATTGAGGGTAAAAAATGTGAAATTCAGATACCAGCTTCGGCTTCTACGTTGTCTGCAGCCGCACAACAAACTCAACTGCCCGATATGCCAACTGTGGAAGTCACACAAGTAACCTCGGTGACCACCACGGCAGCTATGAACTCAATTGGAACATATAAAACGGAACATACACAACCAGCACAAGCAATCACTTCGTTACATATTAATTCCGCCGATATACCTGCCAATGCAAGTGGTTCCGCAGCGGCTAATACCAGAAAATCTCGCCGATTACTCGAAAAAGATCGCTGTACAATCGATGATGTCATTGAAGACGTTGTACGGAACACAATAACGGCTGGGCTTCTGCAGAAGGGCGCTCAAACGCCTCCTAGGCGATCCGGACGTAACGCGAACAGCACTTTGAAAAAAGATGTGGAAACACCGCCCTCATCGCCAGCAGTGGGACGACCGAGGCGATCAAAAGATCGCAAAGGTAGCACAGAACATACAAATACCTCGTTCGATCTCTCCTCAAGCGACACAGATGAACAACACAAGAAGGCAATACCGGCTCCAACGAAGCAGGATCAGCGGTTATTAACCGCACCTGTAACCATGACTCACGACTTAGAAGAACCGTCAGCTAGCGGAACAAATACTGGTACAAATGCAACAAGCGCTCCCAGCTCTTTGCCTTTGCAAGTAATACCTGTAGCACCTGCAATATCAACAACAGCAGCTACAACAGGAGTTTCCGTTTCCGCTATAACGTCTGTATCAAAAACTTCGACAACAGCGCCGTCTTCTCAACCCGCTATCCAGTCACCTTCAACTACTCCAATAACACAGGTTTCAACAAAACCCACGACGATACAAACCGATTCGCAATCGCAACCAACACCAATGCCAATCCATCACGTCATGCCACAACATCCGAAAAAGAAGGTATTAGCTGCAGCTGAGATTGAGTCTTTTGTTGCAAGTAACAATGGTAGTACGAGAACCAACAGTAAAGTCGATGAAATCAACAACGCACCCATATCCTCTATATCGTCTGGTGACATTCCCGCCGTTCACTCGCCGGCCCCTGCCACACAGAAGAGAAGTGGGGGAACCGCTGATATGGTAAGTAAATCACATTCCGATCTGGCCACTGGACTAATCCCCGGTACTTTGCAACATGGCAAGGATGGCAATTTGCCAGCAGCAACAGCCGTAGCAACGGCGGCAGCAACCTTAGCCACAATACACAAAACACCTTTGGACGCAAAAAAAATAGTGCAGGCGGCCCTAGCGGCGGCTACTGCAGAAAATGCTACGCAGTCACACGATGTACGCAGCACTGCAACGTTGATTACGAAAGTTGGCTCCAACCACAACAATATACCATCAACACAAATAGTTCCTCAGACAGCTACGGTATCCCATGCAACACCTCTAACTGCGGTAACAAAACCATTGCAAGTGGAAGCTTCTGCGAAGCCGTTGGGGACTCCTCTATCACTGTTGAATAAATCGGCGGTGAGTGTTGTCGTAAAGACCACAACCACGCCCGTTATCATTAAACAACAAATTGTGCAGCCGCAGACGACTATAACACCGACGACATTACCGAACAGCAAGCAAGCGATTGTGGTGCAACAGAGTCCGGTAGTGATGCATGCACAACCATCCAACGTGCGGCCTCCGACCCTGAAGGCGCACGTGCTCAATAGCCAAAAGAGTCTTCAGCAACAACAAATGTCACAATCCCATCACCTCTTGTCTCAGGTGCAGCAGCAGCAGCAGCAACAGCAACAGCAACAACAACAGCAACAACAACAGCACCAGGCGCAGCCACAACCTCAGCCGATGCATCATCAACAACAGCCGCCGCCACCTAAGCATATTGTTGTCTCCAGTGCGAATCCTGCAATTGGATCCAATGTGATAACGGCACGTCACGCCCTACAACATCAACAACAACAACCGGCAGCTCAACAACTCCTGGTGAACATTCCGTCATCAAATATTAACCAAACGTCCGCTGGTATAAATTCACCTCATATACAACAACAACAACAACAACAACAACAACAGCAGCAACAGAAGCAGCAGCAAAATCTGTCACAACACCAGCAGGCACAGCAAACGCTCGTAATAAAGCAGGGCCAAAGCGGAGCGCCTCAAATGCCGACGCATTCGTCCGTTCGTCCGTCCGTCAGCTTGAAAGGTGCGGTAGGCGAAGTCTCGTCTGGTCTGCAGCACCATCAACCGTCGGCGATGCAAGGCGGTAAAACGCCACAACATACAGCCGTATATGCGCTGGCATCAACTCAGCAGCAGCAGCAGCAACACCCACAACCGCAAATAACGGTGCTAACGCCGCAACAACAACATCAGTTGATTAAGCAACATCACCAACAGCAACAACAGCAACAACAGCAGCAGCATCAACAACAGCAGCAGCAGCAGGCAGTGTTGCAGCCGCCTGTGAGCATATCGATGGTTACTCAGCAGCAACAACATACTCAAAACATTCAGCTGCCGCATGGAGTGGCTGCAGTTCACCACCAAAGCCACAGCAAATTGCCCCCGCAACAACAGCAGCAACAAACACAACCGGCTTCACTTGTAATTCAACCAGGTGGTATAATAGGTCTCCAACATCCCACAATGCTATTACAAGCCAAGCCGCCTGCGCATCTGCAAGTGCAACAAGCCCATCAACAGTTGGCTGGATCACCGCCCCTACAGCAGAGTGCCATGTCAGTTGCCGTTGCCACGAAACCCACCATTGCTGCTATGCAAACGCTGCAAGCTCAGGGCGTACAAATATTACCAGGCAACGTTGCAAGCCCACCGCCCTCAGCACTGAAACAGGTCACTGCGCAACAACAGCAACAGCAACAACAACAGAATTCTCATAACACTTCCAGCGTACCAGGTATGCTGCCTTAGTCCATGTATTTGAAACAATTTAGGTTTATCCGTCTGTTTTTTTTTGTTTTCGTTGTAGGCGTCAGCAACATTCGCACCAGCATTCCCACACTAAGTCCACAGAGCCAATCACGAGTCGGCCCTCTACTGCTACCCACAGGGATGCCAATGCCACCGTTTGAGCCAAATATGGTAAGTGAAAATTCGTTTGATAATTTACTCAAGTACATCGTGTGCCTTAGCTATAAAATTTGAGTCGAAAATACGTCAAGTAGGGCGATAATGGAAATATAGTAGTTCTCTTTTGGATTCTCAATGTGTTGTGTATTAAATTTTCTTTAATTGCAATCGGTGTTATTTCATTATTTCCATTGTGCGGACGCAGCATGAAATCGGCAGTTATTGCAACAGTTCGTCTGGTTCACGTACAGCAAAAAGTCCACCGCCTGCACATCAGCAGGCCTCGCCCATAACGCCGGTAAAAGGACTTTTTATTCGAATCTATTTTTGTTTTTAATATTGTAGTATTCGCGAATACTTAGTACTTCTTTTTATTAATTTTCAGCACATTTAAGTTATTACAATTGCATTTAAAATTTTTGAAATTTTTCAAAACTAATTACATTTATTCCCCCACAGAGTGAAGCTAGTTTCCCGGTTGGCGGTATACGGGGAGTCCCAGCCCGCGACTCGTTCATCATATACCAGCATATACTGCGCAACCAACAAGAGTCAATGAACGCTTCTATCCGTGGTGAATTCGATGACAAAATGCTCGGCAGCAGTCCGCCATTGGAACTGCGTCGACCAGGTAGCGTGCCGCGCACCATTGCCGTACCGCATGGCCTACAGAGTCCACAAGACCGCGCAACAGGTAATTTTACCATGACTTCATCTTAAGTGCAGATGTTCTCACACATTTCACTTTTTCCGCAGATTCCCCACAAGTAGCGCAAGTGTATGTACATAACACTCGACTACCACACGCTCATTACCCAGACCGAGCCTTCTATGAGCCTGGTCGTCAATTGCCTATCGAGCCACCGCCTGCACATCGTGCAGGTGCAACGCACAGTGTAGTGGCGCCACCGCCGGTGGTCGTACCACCTCCAAGTGCAGGCGCAGCGAGTCCATTTGTTGGTACCTCAACAGTACCGCACGCATCTCCAGCACTGAATGTGGGAAGTGGTATTGTGAATGTGACACCATTGCAACCAGCATCAGCTGCACAATTGCATACTACTCAATTGATGGAGCATGAGCGTGAACAACGTGAGCGCGAGAAGCACCAACAACTGCAACGTGAGAAAGAACGCATTGTAATGTCTGGTATGTTTGTCGTACGATTAATTATGAAATGAAGCTAATGTTATTATTTTTTAAAGGCTCCAATATCGATAACATGCCAACGGTACCGCCTGCAAACGCGCAATCAAGAAGTATACAAGTAGCTACGCCGCCTCAAGTGATCAATCCACCACCTGTGATACAACCGCCTACACCCGATTCCCTGCCCACACTGCTGCAACGTTATCCGGTTATGTGGCAAGGTATTTTGGCGCTGAAGACGGATCAGGCGGCCGTACAAATGCATTTCGTATTTGGCAATCCGCTTGTGGCGCGTGCGTCCTTGCCCAGCAACCCGGACGGTAGCATGTCACCACCTCTCCGTATAGCACAACGTATGCGACTAGAACAGACACAACTTGATGGTGTCGCCAAGAAGATGCAGGTGAGTTGAATGGGAGGGAAAATCAATCTTTACGTTACCGTTAACCATAGTCGAGGTAGCCATCAAACTATTGTGAAATTGAATGCTGAACGGTCGTTAAAGCTGTCGATCTTTTAATGTACCTTAAATTTATTAAGTGGTTGTCGACTGATTTTTTTGTGTAAGCTCTGAAAGTATTTCGGTATATCTACGAATTGGAGAATTCCGAGACAAAAGGGTATAATTGGGGTATAGGTATAATTTAATTTTGAGTAGGGTTTCCAAATAAAAATCATTTACCTTATGAGTGAATTACATTAATTTACTAGATCTGATGTGAGGCTAATTTTCAATGCTTTAAATTCATTTTTGTTTATTGCAGTACGAAAACGAGCATTGCATACTATTGGCGTTACCCTGTGGACGCGATCACGCCGATGTGGTGCAGCAATCACGTAACCTGCAAACCGGCTTTATTACCTATATGCAACAAAAAATGGCGGCAGGCATTGTGAATGTACCGATGCCGGGTAGTGAGCAAGCGGCCTACGTTGTCCACATATTCCCTTCATGTGACTTTGCAAATGAAAACTTGGAGCGAGCTGCGCCCGATTTGAAAAATCGTGTGGCCGAACTTTCTCATTTGCTAATAGTAATCGCAACGGTGTAAATGGCGTAAATGTCAGAATGATAGAGTCCGTGGGCGATTATAGTAAAAGTGCGAAACATCACGTCCAGCTGCTGATACCCTACTCCAGAGCGTAATGCATAGAGGGCATTCCAGCAGCTCGATAAAGACCAGAATTGAATACGCAAACTTGACAAGTACTACAAAGCAGACTACAAGTCGGCTGTCACCGGATAGAGTAATGCATAGCTTGTGTGCTTCAAAACACAGCAGCTGCAATGAATGAAGAATAAGAAAAAAAATACCAAGAAAAATTAAATACTAAATGCTAAAATAAAGTGAGTGTCATTAAATAGTAAAGTACGCACACATACACCCCAAACATGTTACGAAATACAAATGCGAGTTATTGTAGTAATTATGTTTTTTTTTTTGTAATATATTTATTAAAAAAAAAAAATAAAGAGAGAAAAACACCAAAAATCCTTTTGCGACAATACACAAGCATAGTAAGACACATGTAACAACAAATGAAGGAAAAACAGAAAATGTAATCGACTAGAGTTTCCGAATTATATGATATAAATGAATTAAAAAGTTGGAGTTAAGTGGAGTTAAGAAAAAAGAATTTCACGCTCCTGACAAACAGTCAAGTCGACACAATAACAATGGAAAACAAGCAAGCAACTCTGCGTAATATAACGGTAGTGCATGCAAATATTCCATGAGAGGTATCCGTCACAGGGCGGTTGAGAGAAAAATTAAAAATTGTAAAAACTAAAATTAATGAAAGTAAATAATGAGTATATGCAGACATACAAACTTGTTAAAAATGTTTAGAAATTTAATTTGTAAGCTTTTAAGCAAATTGTTATAAGCTTTGTGAATACCTCTTCAATTTTTGTCTAATTATTATTTAAATTTTATGTCTAATCTAATTTTGGACACCGCACTAGTTGAATGCGTATATTTTCCTTATTGTTTTTGTGGTACAGAATTAAAGAAAACAAAAAAAGTAAAAAAAAAAAGAAAAACAAATATTAAAAATAATATTAATAAGATTAACATATTAAACTAATTTACGCATATGAACTATGAAATTTGTAATTTATTTATTTGATCTCAAACTAAAGGAAAAAAGGAATGTTTACTACCAATTTTTTGCTTTATCTTTAAGGTTGAAAAGAAAAATAGTAATAAAGCAGACAAGGCATACAGAATTTTTCTTATTAGATTATTTCTCGTCTTTAAATTAACTCTCGTGTTAACAATCAAAAAGGAAGCAAAACCACTGCCTTGTACATAACTCGTTGAGGGATTAAGATTTAAATTTCTGCTCATTAAAAAAAAAATAAGTAAATGAAAGCAATGTGAGCTTGTTTCCATAAGATTGTATGCGTGACATGAACTTCCTCATTGCGAATTCAAAGCATACACTCTTGTGGATTCGATCTCGTATTAAACATTTAACTGTGTTTAGTCGAAAGCGTTGAGCAGACACATTTTTTCCAAGCGTTCCGGCTTGAAATTTTGTTGTTCTTCCCAGCGATATTCGAAAGATGCAGTCAAATTCTTTACTGCGAAAAATTGTGCTTTGTGCGAATGTGTGTTGAAGATTAATAATTAATTTACTAACAAATATGAGGTTCTCCGAATGCCTTAGATGCTTGTTATATTGTAAGTTCAAATGCCAAAAAAAAAAAAAAAAAAAAAAAAAAAAAAAAGAAATATAAGTAAAACCTAAAAGTAATACTGAAAGCTGCTTATAGTGTTACCTACATACATGCATTCATACATAATATTCATAAAATTTGAAAAGCAGAATAAATGGAAAAGCCTTTGTGACCAACTTCAAACTCGAACTCAGTTTTGCTGTTCACTCAACTCACCTCTCCAAATGTGTTTTTTCCGTTTGTTTATTAACTCATCCCGTCAATTTAGTTGAGTCCAATCTTCGTGACTCCATATTGGCAGGCAGCGTTATTCAGTTGTCTACACGTTCAAACTTCATCTAATTTCTCACCACTGCCATTTACGATTTATACGACTACATTTGCTAATAATGCCAATACATACTTATGTTTGCAAATTAATTCCTTTAAGTGAAATATTTTTTTTTATTTTTATTCTTTTTTCTTAACTATTTTTGTTGAAGTTGAAATTTCTTCATTAAAAACCATAAAGGCGCACAATTTTGTTTGTTTCTTTAATGAATGAACTTCTGCGCCATTTGGAAAATGAATAGAGGGCACTGCAATGGTTAATGTGTATGTCGGGCGTGCGGTGACGCATGTATTTCCGAGCACTTTTGCTGTTGAAGGCATTTCTATATTTCAAATATATAAATTCAAACCTTCATTGCGTGTGTTTTGCTTACCTTTTTGTATTGTTGTTGGCTTGTTTGCTCAGAACGTTTGAATATTTTTTAAACTTTGCTGGTTAAATAAATATTTTTCTACTATCTATTAATTCTATTTATTTGCATAAATTTGGAAAGCTATGACTTGAAAAATAAAACAACAAAAATTGTATATGTACATATATATTATATAAAAATAAACAGATCATTAAATGTTATCTTACGGGATTCTACAATAAAATATGTTCTCCCCCACTTTCCACCCCACTTTTCACTATTATTAATTATAAACTTTAACAATAAACAAAATACCCTTGTAAAATATAAATAAAATAGCATGTAAATTATATAGATACAAGCATATAAATTATGAATAATTTTAAGCGTTGATGTAATTAAATATATTTACGAAATATGTATATTAGTAGTTGTAGTAGTAGTAACATAACATAAATATTAAATTTAAAACCAACTGCAGAAGTAACTATATATTAATTAAATCAATGTACAGTTATTCATAAAAATAGTTATTATTTTAGTTTTAGAAAACAGAGAAAATCACTAACTGCAAAGCACCGAAAACAAAAGTTGCGTTTGTCAAATATAAAAAGTTTAACATAAATTTAAATAAATAAAAAACCAATAACATAAAGAAAGCAAAGCTGTCAAGGCGAAAAAAAAAATAATGTTAGACACATACACATAGGTAGTGCGTTAGGAAATATTTAGCACTCTCCCATTTGCATACATATACAAATACCATAAATAAACATACATATATGCATAACAATAAAATTAAAATAATAAAAAAAACAATTCAAAAATACAAATTACATAAGTTTCAATATTAGATATCAAAACATACATTCTAAGTTGTAATTTGCAGATAGTTTCTCTTTCATTTTTCAACAAGGGAACTATAAGGAAATTTAATAAATTTTCTGTTATTTTTTCTTACAAGAAATTAATCGAGCTGTGTTTAATTTATTGATTTGATACAAATTTTCATTGAAATCTTTTTATAGCGCTTTTTATAGCGATGTATTCCTTCGTTCAGTCACTTTCCCAATTCAACACCCACTAAATAGAAATAGTGTGTTCTCTGAAAATAAATAAAAAACCTACGAAGGAGAAAAAAACTTAGTTCCAGTGTTAAATTTAACTGTTCATCAATCAAATTCAATTTGTTTTTACACCCTACGTGATGATCATGCAAATGCATTTCCCGTGATATTTCAACATTCTGCATCAAGTTCAGTTTTTCTTAATTCCAATGTCCCACTTTTCCTTTCATATTTACGTAAAGAGTTTGCGGTCTCTGGAAAAATCGAATATTTTTAGCGGCACTCAAAGTAATCAGCAGCTCAAAGCCAACTCGCAAAAGTAAAGCAAATCGAAATACCTAAAAAATAAGATGAAAATAGCAAAACACAGTAACTTGAAAAGAAAAAAGTATAAGTAAAATAAAGTAATCCTACAAAGTAGCGAGTGCATGTGTGTGTATGCGTGTTAAATAATCGTAATAGCAAATTAAATCCACAAATTAACAAAAAAGTAGTTATCACAAATGCGAAAAAATAAGAAAAAGAAAATAAATATTCCCCACAATATCTAAATGAAAACGAAAGAGAATAGCAAAATTCGAGACTTTAAGTGTAATTGTTAAAGAGTTTAGAAACATATTTAAAAATACTATACTTAAAATGTGAAACACATACAAACACACATACACATACATATGTAAAAACTCCATCAAATTATTTAACCGAAGGCGTTTATAATCCTTAATGATCCCTAAATGAACACACCGACATATGCATATGCATATATAAATAAATAAATCTCATTCAATTCATTCCTCCTCCTCCTCGCCATCCTTGCAACGGTGAAAAGCTGAGAAAGTAAAAATAGCAAATTGTACAATTTCGCCTCGACTCTTATTGCTACAAAAAGATCTACATACACGTATAATGCAACAATAAAAACATATACATATATACATACTGTATACATATAACAAACATGCGTATTTATGTATGTTTGTATCTATTGAAAATTGTAAATTACCTAACAAATATTGAATATTATGTAGATTATAATAAACAGATAAAACGATATATATATATAATTATAACTATATATATGTATATATATATATACATATATACATATATACATATACATACACACATGCATGTATATTAGAAAACATGAGATCTAAAAACGGGAATATGAGTAAAAAGCCAGAAAAATTATATTAATAATATTATATAAACAATTGAGAACTTGAAAAATTATATAGTAGTGAATAAAGCAAGTAAATGTTTTGTGCGTGATGCGGAAAGTCGTAATGATAATGTAAATATTATTAATAATTACATGCTATAAATATTATAAATAAATTGACGTAATATTTAATTGAAATAAATGAAAAGAAAATTACAAATATTAAACAACTTTCGGTTTTTAGTTTATCCACTTTCTTCTGCGTTGCTTAAACGGGGACATCGGCTTTTGGACAATGATGACGATGACAGGCGGATTTTTTTAGACTAACAAAGGGTGCTTTTTTTAACCTGTGGTTTTTACTGGTAGTCGGTAGTTCGGAGTTCGAGCAGTCAAAGGAACAGTTTAGCACCACTACCATCCAGCGCGTCGCTAATTCGATTGACAAATACGCCCTCTTGTGTAATTTTCAAAAACCACAGGTCTACGGGTTACTGCTTTCGGAAGATTGTAATTTACCAAATTTTAATTTTATTTAATAGCATAGAGTGAAACATTAATTATTATCACGTAAGATACGCAAATAAAGAAATTGTCTCCGATGCTTATCAACATTTTAGCGTTTTCTATCTACAGTAACATGTTGCTAATGCTTAGCGGAGACACAAACCTTCAAACAGTCTACCACCATTTGGGCATTTATTCCAGTTTCAGAGGAATTTTGTGTGGTGATTTAATTGAGGAACTTTTAACAATATGAAATGGATACGTGCTTATTCACACACATACACATACACACACATACACAAGGGCGAGGTACGATAAACGCAATCGATGTTGTCAAGTCTTTCCGGCAGACGTTGGTTGCACGGAGATAAACAATACTGCTTAGTTGCAATCCTCGATGTGCAAAACGCATTTAATAGCGCAAGCTGGGCTCATATATTAAATGTCCTAATTCCGCCATACTTAAGTGATAGAGTCCTGCAACATAGTACCAGAGAAGGAGTGGTGAAGCGGAAGATCACCGCAGGGGTTCCCCAGGGGTCTGTACTGTGACCTGTCTTATGGAATATCATGTACGATAAAGTTATGCGGATAGAGCTCCCCAAAGATATAACCATAGTAGGCTACGCTAACAATATAGCAATCGTAGTGGTCGCAAAAATACTACCTGCTTTAATTCAGCTATCTGAGTTAGCCACATAAAGCATTAAAAGATGGCTTGAAGCAAAATGTCTGCAACTGGCAGATCATAAAACAGAAGCCGTTCTCATTAGCAGCCGGAAAAAATTAGAGAAGGTTCAAATCAGAGTTGGGGATTGCATCATTGAATGAAAGTCATGCGTTAAATACCTAGGTGTGATCATTGATCATCGGCTAAACTTTCGCGATCACCTCGAACACGCGAATAATAAAGCCGCAATAGGAACCACTGCCTTGGCTAGACTAATGGCAAACGTTAACGGACCGCGCCAGTAAAGCAATCAGCTTCTCGCAGGGATAGTTAAATCAATCCTGCTCTATGCTTCTCCGATTTGGTATACAGTATTGGAAATAGAATCATACGCCCGTGGCGTTAAGTCCACTTACCGTCGGTGCGCACTCCGTGTCTGCGCTGCTTTCCGCTCCGTGTCAGAGGATAATAGTTATCGCCGGGATAATCCGTCTCGACATAGCGGCTAGGGAACAAAACACACTTGCAAGTCTTAGACGAGAAGAACGGAGCTACAGTATTAAAAGTGACGAAAGACTTTTATCTATTGCTCGCTGGCAGGGGCAGTAGGGAAAATGAAAATGCATGCGGAAAAGCAGAATTGCAGCTGAAATAATGCAGCATTTGCGATGGAGCGAACAGCAGAGGCGGAGGCGCGATAACAGCGCACCAGCGACTGACACTAATGTGGACCAGCAAACTTACGTACTGGATACATAGTGACGAGCACTGAGACCGAGACGGTTTTCAAGTAATGACGACTAACGATAGCGACCCAGACTATTGAGCTAATAGCGCTCCAACGGCCTCCTCACGAAATACTCAATACGGGGTTAAGGCTTTCGATGCTTTTCATCTCAACAAAAAAATATTGGTTAAATTAAATACTTTTTTTGATAGTGAGGGTTCCGCTAGTAAAAATAAGGGAACATTTACTTCAGATTACACATCTATGACCCAATTGAAAATTCTCAAAACTATGATAGGATCTTAAAAAGTATGGAATATTCGAAACAAAACTGAACCCTGCAAATAGGCTTTCGATCATTTGAGCCAACATATGCCAGGAGTGCATGACGACATATCCCGTCAGCTCGTAGAACGATTTCCCTATCACTTTCTTAAGGCCGAAATGACAAACGTGATGTTTACATTTGCATACGTGTGAGAGAGAATGACGCTCCTCGTTTACTCGTGCATTTTCGTCATTCTTGTAGAACAAGCCAAACACAGAAGAGCGACAGTATTGGTGCTGAAAGAAATCAGCTTTGACAAAAAGTTTCCCTACATATTTTTCATACATACAAACATTATTAAGATTCAGTCTTATTCCAATATTTTGTATGTACTCAGAAGAGAAAGGTAAGCAAAAAATGTGCACATGTGTTAGTTGACTTCAAATGTGCGGGAATCGGCAAATGCGTACATACGAGGTGTGTTCAAAAAGTATCGCGAATTTCGAATTTTCGCGGCTTACTTATAATCGAATTTCGATATTTTTTTGTGTCGATATGTTGGTACTCATGTCTGTCACTTATGCCGACAAGCTCGGCCATTTTGAATGTTCACTTAATTGTTGACAGCTGCTTTGTTTGCACGTGTTTTGGATGGTCTTCGATTTTTACCTATTCAAAAAAATGGATCAAAGAACCTGTGTCAAATTTTGTGTGAAAAACGAAATAAAGTGCGCGGATGCATTCCGAATGTTGATTGTGGCATTCGGAGAAGCAACCTTGGACCGAAGCAACGTTTATCGGTGGTACAAAATGTCCTCAGAAGGCCGAGAAGATGTGAACGACGAGCCGGACGAGCCGGACGCCCGAGCACTTCAACAACAGACGAAAAAATTAATTGCAAAGGGCGTGGTGCATCATGAGTTCTTGCCCAAGGGTAGAACGGTTAATAAGGAATATTACCTGCATGATAACGCCCCTCATCACATCGTTGTTTGTGCGCGACTTTTTGCCGAAAAACAACACACTAATGATGCCGCAGCGACCGTATTCCCCAGATCTGGCCCCCTGTGACTTTTTCTTGTTCCCTAAACTGAGGAGGCCTATGAAAGGACGACGTTACGCTACGATTGATGAAATAAAGACGGTATCGAAGGAGGAGCTGAACAAGAAAAGAAATGATTTTTTGAAGACAAAATAGATATTCACACAAAATTCGCGATATTTTTTGAACACACCTCGTATGTATGTCCAGTAAAATAACAACTAAACATTTCAATTTAAATTTAATGAGCAATTTTTTTGTTGGCGTACTTGTATGTTAGTGTATTTGTATTTACGCAAAACGTTAATTAATTAACAAACGTTAGGAAACAGGGTGCCTCTTTGGACAAATAACCAATTGTTCTGCTCTGTGGCGCGTCAGTTACACACGTAAAGCAAAGAAGACTGTCCAAGAGCTGTTGTGCTGAACTTTATTCCTTTATTTTTGTTGAATTTTCATATGGTTCCGTTTAACTTCCCGTGTTGTGCCCAAAAGCTTAATAATCAGTTATCAGTTCGCACTACCTTCCAGGAGGCCGTGGGTTCGTGTACTGGCGCGACCAACATCGAACATTTTTTGGTTGCCCGAATGTGAGCGTAGTTCTGACATGAAATAAAAGCTCCTAATAAAAATCCGTCGCCCGTTCGGAGGTCCCTTCACTTGTTGGAAAACTTATCAAGACGCTCACTACAAAGTGGAAGAATAGTGTACAAACATATGAATCCGAGTGGACGCATCCATCTGTATGTACATATGTACGCTGTGTGCGTTGTTCAATTTTCGGATGCCAAAATAGCGTGGCAAAACGCTTTCTTTTCAGAACATGGCCTATAAGAATTTAGGTTTGAGTTAAACTTGATTTAAGTCACGAACCAAAGAACAAGAACATTGGGTCGTTTGATAAATACATTTTCCCAGCAGGAGAACCTGAAGCGGTTTTCGGTCAAGCTCCTCATCCAATTTGGGGTGTGCAACTTGATGTATTTTCTACCAATTTTTTCTAAGCGACCTACGAACGGCTGATGGATTTCTATAAGATTTCTTATTTCCTTCCACAAATACACTTGGGGAGAGGTTGGCATTCTCTCCAGAGAGACGACCGCAATTAGAAAAAGTAATTTGAAACTAATTTTGCATAGTTTTGGCTAACCACCCGGCTGCCGCTTAAAGCTTCCCACAGATTATGGATCATCTTCTGAGTCATCTGAGCTGGCAGGAGCTTGCTTCAAGTCATAATTTTTTGGCGTTGGTTATAAAAAGATCTCCACTTCACCGGTTGTAAATTATGAAGAATAACAATTTTCAGTTTTACTGTAATGGAAAATTTCATGCGCCCATGACTCATTTAGATTACTGTCGTCGCGGATCACCTTATCACACATCAGATGAACGCATGTGGACACACGTTGTGCAAACATAAACAAATATTGAAGGGAGCTTCTCTGAAAGCGGGCGCACAACACTGTCTGATTCATTAATGAAAAGTCGGTAAGTACTGCGCCATCACTTGGCAACGATTGAAATAAAAATACAATAAGAAGGCAAAAACAAGGCAAACCGAGGCACGCACATAATTAAGGCAATTGTCGACAATTGTGCTTCAGAAGCCGAGCCCAACACATTCAGCGTCTTCAGTCGTAAAAAGAATCTGGCGTTTAATAGCGCGCACAAGTCGAAAGCGTAAAACAAGGCAGACGGATGCTTAAAGACTATTGATTGAATTGCGAGCAAATTGAAAGCTTCAGAAAGGATCGGAGGGAGGCGGAGGTAGTGAATTTGAACGAAACTATTGCACGCCAATGTGTCTACCGAAGGATTTGAAGGGTGTCACGATCCAGCGGATCGCCACGATAGTCGGTATGAGAAGCTGCTGCGCTCGAGAACTTGTTGTGGCTGTTCAAATGTTTATTTTCTTTTCATTCAATCTCTAGGCAATATACTATGCCTGAATTTTGGAATTATGTTCGGCATAACGCCTGCGCACGTACAGCTCTACGTTGAGGAACAGACGCCGCTGAATCACGTCAACAGTGAAGACGCCGTGACATGGATCTTCGGCTGCCTATTTGCCAGCGCGGCTTTGAGCTCGGTATTGTGCGGGTTTTTCACTCAAAACATTGGACCGCGGGCTTTATTGCTGCTGAGTGGTCTGCTGCAAATCGTAAGTTCACATCCTTTGATGTTAGCGTCATTAGACTTGCTTATTTGAATAACATTTTCGCGGCTTTCTTTGTCACTCACCCACAGGGCAGTTGGTTTTGTGTACATTTTGCCTACGACATCGTGCACATCTATTCGTCGCGCATCTTGGGCGGTTTTGCCGCTGGCGCCAGCTTGTCTGTGTTGCCAATATACATAGCGGAGATCTCGGAGGAAAGCAGCAGCCCCGCTTTGATTGCGACGATCGAGCAATGGCGCACAATCGGTGTACTGATCGGCTGTCTGCTCGGTCAGCATTTGCAGTACGAATATGTGGCCGTGGTGGCTGTGTGTATTTCTTGTGCCTTCACTATAATGTTTCCCTTCAGCCAAGAGAGTCCCTACTACTATATGCGCAAAGGCGATGTGATGGGACTGGAAAAATCTTTGCGCTGGTTCCGTGGTGTACGTCGTATGAGCGATCGTAATCGTCCGGAATTCGTGCGTGAGTTGGATGAATTCAAGCGCGGCATGGAGAGACACATTATCGCTCAGGACCTTGTATCGCATACGTATTTATGTAAGATGGCGGTCTATACTTTGGTATTGTTTGTGGGCGTGCAGTTAAGCGGCACCTATGTGATACTCGCTTGGTCCAATCAGATTCTTACGAATGATGTCTTCGTCGGCTTCTCAATAGATATAAGCGTAACGATTTTGGCTCTCACACAATTCATTGGCGCCACTATCGCAGTTTGGCTTGCAACTATGCTGAAAAGAAAGGTAAAGCTTTGGAGTTGGTGTATGGAAATATGTGAGATCTCGTGATGGTTTTTGATTACAGATTTGCTTATTCGTTTCGGCTTTTGTCTGTGGACTTGCTACGATTTGTTTGGCGATTTTTATTGCAGTCGGTGTGAGGGGACATCTGCAATGGCTTTCGTCCGCATTATTGCTGATTCATATATTTTTTGCAAACTTTGGCATGTACTCGCTCCTCTCGCTGATTCCCAGTGAAATGTTGGACACGAAGGTCAGTATAAATTATGCTGGTAAACTTGAAAAGATAAATTAACTGATCAAATCAAATTAAAAGCTCCTGTAAAAAGGAGCATCAGCCGTCGGCCGGGCGGCTTAGTATAAACTGTTGGAAAACCATCAAGGCGCAAAACAACAAATTATAGGAGGAGATCGCTCGAAAACGGCTTCAGGGGTTACAAAAAGCAAGTTATATACTTACATATATATGCGTAAATCAATTGGTATTCAAGGGCTTGTCTCTGATTTTCGGTAGGAAGATTGTGAGTGAGCTTTAGTTAAAGAGTTAACCCAGTGCTGTAGGTTCAAGGAGTTAAGGTCCTTGCACATTTTTCACTGTCAGAAATTTAACCGATCCCTGCGCGACGTAAGAGTACCAGTTAGAACTGGATGAACAAAGTTGATGTCGAGAGAACTCCAATGGTCAATAACCCAAAGTTTATTGGGATGGAATTCACCTGCAATTCATTACTCAGCTTATGACCGGCATCGTAACCAAGGTACATACAAACCAAAAAACGGACCATTTACCAGGCACACGGGTGATCAGTCGTGAATAACGCTGCATAATCAGCATAATGTAATGTAATGTGATGGGTAAACCAAAGAGATCAGTGCCGGTCACATCAAGAAGGAAGCGCATGACAACATAGATGGATTGAATATAGCAAACCTTACGAAAAAGCCCAAAAAAGGGGAAAGGGCTTTAGATGAGATGAGATGAGTATTGCTTAGAGAGCACTCAAAGAGATGGTTAGTGTCGTGTGGATTCTCACAACAGGCAGGACATACGTAGGCTATTTTGGAGTCGAGTCTGAATAAATATAGGTTTAACCTGTTGTAATATCCAAACCTAAGTTGCGGCATTATTATGCGGGTCTCTCTAGGCGCACGAGCTCTTCGTCTGCTATGGGTGGTGATTTAACTCCAATTACGCCATTCAGAGGAAGGAAGTCTTTGAAGGTATTAACTGACACCTGGTGAATGGAATTCAGTGCCTGTCTGTGCAAAGCATTATGCTCTTTAACTCGCTGCTTCCTCAACTGCGTCTCGTTCGTCGCCGGTACCCAGATCAGTGTTGCATAGTTAACCACCGGTCAGTCAATTGTTTTTTAGTTTACCATAAATGTTTCTTTGTCTTTACTTCAGGTGCTGCCGGCTAGCGCTTTGAGTATTTTTGCGGCAATTACGGTCGCATGTGGGGTGATGGAGAGAAGGCTGTCAAACTAACACATCGACTAACACATCTAGTCGGTATGCCGTCTTGTTCAATGATTCGGTATGATCTAGCACTTCCTTACTGATGTGCCTGGGTGAAGAATTCAGCCCCAAGTAAATGTACCATCGGGAACATTATAGCAGACATTGCCTGTACAACATAACCTTATGCTCCTGAACTTGTGGCAAGTGATGTGCCAGCGGCATCATTAGATACGCTGCTACGTTCTTTATTACTTTGTCGAGACTACTTTTTGATATTTTTTGATAGGGATGACGTAAACAGAAAAAGTTGCCATCTCCTTTTATGGTTGCCAGAGGCATACAATTTATTTACAAAAACATTTTGTATGATAATTCTATCAGAGCTTAATAGATCTTTATAAAAACTCGAAACACATTTGCAGATACATAATTTTGACGCACAGTGTAAAATGTGTTTTATTTTAACAGTTACGTGTTAGTCTGACAAGCATATCGTGGGGTGTCTCCTGGCTCGTCACGTTCATTTTGATACAGGTAAGGAATGTTGAGTAAAATGTGCCTACAAACATTTCACTTAAAGATCAAATTTCGCATTAAATAGTACTTCGAATGCATCTCAACGATTATTGGACTTCATGGATATTTCATTATCTTCGGTGTTGGCTGCACTGCTGTTGCAATGTTGGCTCTGGTAGGGCTGCCGGAAACGCTTGGAAAACCTCTCGCTGAAATACAACAAATCATGGGATTTCGAAGTGAGAGCGAGGTATCCAAAAATAGTGTGCCTCAAAGTGGGCGAATCAATTTGGAGCGTTATTGAAAGAACAAGGACAAGCATTTACTAAATTTTGAGCAGTAATTATTTTTATTTTTAAAACGATATATATACATATGTAGGTAGATACAGATACATTGAACAATTGAAATAAAAATACATAAATTCCAATATTTGCTTTTGCTTTTGTTCCGAACAAGAAGTTTCCGAATCTGCGCTTCCAAATCTTTCCACGAGATTCAGATAATTTTTGCTTAGTTCGTTGACAGTTGACAGAAAACTTATGTTCAAAATTCAATTGTTGCGCGCGATGTACACCTTCGGGTCTTCTTCGATACTCTGTCCCACTGCCGTAATGACGTTTTCGGTGTGCACCATACGGCGTAGAGCCAAGCGAATCATTATTTTGCTAATAAATCTACCCGTCCTGCAAACGTTGTGCCGGTGTAAGTCGCTTCGTTATGAAATGGCAACCCAAACCGAGTCTAAAGCAAATAACAGCGGTCAGAAAGACCGATTCTCAAACCACATGGCTAAACTAAATATCTTTATATTTTCTCTCGAAATCCCGATTTTCGAAATTTCGTTATCACAATGAAGTGAATGTTTAAAATCTCTAAAAATTTGGATTTCAATTTAATTCTAGGCTGAAATCTTTACTGAACTCTCAATGTAAGCACAAATTTTGAATGATCCGCTATTGATCCAATGAAAACTGACTCTTATTGAAGACTGTGACTCTAAAAATTTGCTGCAGAGTGTAAGGTTTAATAAATTAATTTTCGAAGTAGCGCCAACCAGACAAATTTGTTTATGAATCGCGTGACCTGTGTGTATAAAAGATAAACTTTGTTATAATTGAGAATTCCACTATCGGTGTATGTATATGTATATACGTGTACACAACCAAGCAAAACTATGTACTTCTCTCGAAAACTAAGTGAAATATTTTAGAAAGGCAGCGCTTCTGATTTTGTACTGAAAAAATTATACGAAGAGAATCGCAAATTGGGGCAGCAGAATCGGCTGCAAAGGGTGTAGGGAGTAATAAATTAGCATCTAATTAATATTGGAATTGATTATAAATACAATAAATGGAATTCGTTGTGAATTTCAATTTACTCTTGCTGTGCTGCGGAAGTTTACATACGATTTTCAGCAAACTCGTACTTGTACTACGTGGATTCGAGTCCCGGGTAGACCAATCCGACCGCCCTTGGCAGGAAAAGTCAAGCAATTCTAATGTATTTACGACATTAAACCAAAAGACTCTAACACAAATCCTGCCAGAATAGTCAGTGGGATGGTCCTCTTCCCGCCGTTCGATATCAAACGTGGTTTCAGAAAAGGTGACTCCTAAGCGTGTAACGGTTGGGTGATTATATCCAAATCAATAATATTTCACCTTTGGTTATCGTGTGATATGGGTCTGATAGTAAACGAGGGCAAGACGAAATATATCCTGTCCTCAAAGAAATAGTCGGCGCATTTGCGACTCGCCTCCCACGTCGCTGTTGTCAGTCATGACTTTGAAGTCGTAGATAACTGCGTCAACTGGCTCCAAGTATTAACATCGAAGCAATGTCTGCTTGGAAATCCGGCGCAGAATCACACTTGCCAACAGGTGCTTCTGAGAAGATATTTGAAAAGTGAAAGCCTCCCCCAACGACGAATAAAGACTTAACTCAACAAGTCACTCATCATTCCTGTTCTGGAATATGATGCAGAAAGGTGCAAGATGAGAACATCTGAGGAGTCGGCGTTCGGACTCTTCCAAAGAAAGTTTTGGCGTGAAATTGAGCTGTGCGAGACATGCGGCTGCGCTCGCTAGGTCATGTGATCCGGATGGATAAGAATACTCCAGCTTTGAAAATTGTTTATGCAGTATCCGTCGGTGGAAGCAGAGGAAGAGAAAGACATCAACTGAGTTGGAAAAATTAGTTGGAGAAGGATCTGATTAGCGGTGTCGACGCCAGCTAAGAAGAAGAACGAAAAATCCATCATCGATTCAGATCTCTATATTGTTTAACTTGGCTCTAAATAATCTCTGGTGGATACAGTTATTTTATGAATGACGAAATCAATCAATTCATCTTCCTAAGGATCATTGGCCCACAGAAAAGTAGTATTGTCTCCGTTCCAGATCAAAATTTCCGAAGACTGTACAAGAACCAACGAAAAGAGATCAGACCAAAGTAAAACAACTCAAGGAAACCTAGCACAAGCAGTTCGCATGCGTACGGGACCATTAATCACAATTTATATTTAGGTTCTCCCAGCAGGTAAACTGGATTTAGAATCGTGAGGTTGCAGAAAACCAATCATCCAAGTAATTGATTTTGAATTGAGGAAATTAGCATTGCACCCTAGCATTCTGAAGACAGATGTTCGAGAACTGGTTCGACCAACATCAAGAGTTATAAAAAATTAATTTAAATGAAAAAATACACGACATAAAAGCATCTCTTAAAAAAAATTCATCGGCCGTTCAGGGGCGGTTTAAAGTACACACACATACCACAAAATGGAGGAAGAGCTTAGTCGAAAATTGCTCCAGCGGTCAGAAAACGTCAAGTATATCTATCAAAGCTTTTGTCGGAATCGACTAGACCGGACCAATATATCTGGTAGCCCCATAAAACCAATTTATTCATATATTGTAGTATGAGGTTTCCATGAGTTGAGTAGTCTACACACATGTAATAAATTTCGTGTTGGTGCTGAAAATCATCCACATCGGAGTACTACTACTCTCATACAACCCATTTTTCGGATATCAGAGTTAATCCTAAAATTAAATACCATAAATTTGTTCATGAAAGGCATAAAATATAATTAATCACTCACGGGAAGTCAGCACCGTGTGATATGGTTGAGGTTTTCAGCACTCCCTGCAGAAAACCATCTCAACCAGTCTTTAGAAGATAGGGGATGGCCTCGTGCGCGACCGAGTTAATTGTTTGAAGAGGTTAGAAAACGACAATTTGGTTGCTCGGCGATGAGGCCGCGAAATGAATTTCAATATTTGGTATCACATTTGCGCGTGTGTTTGGCATTCGCACTGGTATCACTTTCGGCTGCGCTGTTCGACTCTTTCGGCTTGTTTACAAATATTAATTATTTTGTTTGCAAGATTTGGAGTATCTTTAACTTTCAGTTTGAGATTATCAAGAGAGCATGTGCAATTATGGAAGCACAAGTTTTTTGGTGGATGATGAAATGATATGACATGTTGAGATAAGCGTTGAATAGCGAACACAACTGAAGTGTGTTAGAATTGGCGTTTTTGTTTTTTTTTTTAGCAAATATAAGAATTTTTCGGGTTGTTTGTCTTGCGGTTAGGCATTTTTATCGAAGTCCCAACACTTAAGCAAAGCATTGCTGCTTTAATTTTAGCCACTCGAGATCATGTGTAGTATATCATTCAGCAATGTGCGAGGCTTTAGAACAAAATGTAGTAGTGAATGGGCTTAGTACAGTTCTGATAAGGGCGATATCAAGCACAAATAGGCTTAGAAGTGAATTGGCATTGGTTTAGCTAATGCGAGTAGACGTGCGCAGCTACTTTTAGCCGACTATTTTGTTGTTCCTCACAACGCAGACCTCAGCAGATCAGATTGTTGTTAGTTTGAGAAAAAGCGACTGTAAAACCGCACTACTTCCAAAGCCGCCACCGCACAGTTGCCTGACAGCTCGACGAGTCAAGACGGCACAGGTCGTCGTTAGAAATATACAAATTTTTCAAAAAAAAAAAAAAGTTAAATTTTCGCTCAACTGAAAGAAGTCAAGTGAATTAAAAGTATAAATGAAGATCAACTGGCAACTGTGACAAAACTTTCAAAACTCAGTTCAAATACTAAGCAGAGAAAAGAGTTGTGCATAATAATTGAAAGTAGTGGAAAATTTTTGCTTTAATTTGTGATTACTCAAGTGAATGTACATGCCTAAGGTTGTCTGTATGCAGTGAGTTTGTGTGGATTTTTACAGAAGTTGGGCGAGCAGAAAGGAGACCGAAACATAAACGATGGCGAACGAAAACCAATCCAAAAACCAATACTTGGCCGGAATATGCGGTTAGTATGGGCGCATCAAGAGTTAAAGGGCTTTCCGAGAGACGCCGGCATGCACACATAACTATGGTTGAACAAACATACTTCTGTGTTTCTTTCTTAAGTTAAACTGAAAAACTGAATTTGTGTTCGAAGTATTGTTTTCATGTTTTGGCTGTAGATAAAGTGTTTCATGGGTGAAGATTTTGGAACTACATATATATGCTGAAAAACTTAGGAAAAGATCAGCTCTTAGGCCCCAAAATTTTTGATAATTTTCATCCCGTATATATTCAATCAAAAATGCAATTTTATCCAATTCAATCAATTCTTTTGTTTTGCTTAATTTTTTTTTTATTCAATGAGTTTTTGCTCGTGCTAAGACACTTCTTAATAGTTCTACATCAAAGCATAAAACGCGATATTTATTTAAATTGAGGGAACATTTTGAACAAATATGAATTTTTGAACTTAGTGTGGAGCATCATTGGTTGGTTTGGAAGTGCACATGGAAAAACCCTACTGGTTTTATTTGTCGTCTAGTCTCAGAGCTTAAATTGTAAAAGATATTTCCCTCCAGAATCCTAATAAAATGGAATGGAATTTATGCTGTCTGTGCTGTTCTTCTCACAAACTGAAGTTTCGTTTTGTTCCGTGAAGGTTTTTTGTCCCAACTAAGTACAACCTTTGTCCCGTGCATGCCAAACACTCTTAGACTTGGTGCTCCCCTAGGAGCGCCAATAGGCATTGCCCCAATAACAGTTCTACCAGTGGCCTGGAATCCGGACTCATTGTCGCTCGTTCCCAAAGTTTATTCATTTGACGAAGTAACATGGCTTCTTGTGTTTGCTTCACTTCCTTGAAGGTTTTAATTGTGGCCTGGTTGTGGACATTAAAATGTATTTTCCTCTATTGAAGGCAAGCACACTGCAATAGCTCAGTCGACACTTTTATAGCAAATATTTCTGCGTGGAAGATATTTTTTCTTTGGAATATTATGAACAAGGATTTTAAAAAAGTTTATTCACGAATAATAACAAACTTAGTCGAAGGGCAGAGCGCCTAGGAACACGAATTTGAGGTCCAGCAAAACGCTTTCAGCAACTGTACACTTTGCAAACTTCCAAAAAAGCAACCAACTGATTAGCCCAAAAATATCTAATACAAAACTGTTTGCGTAGATCTTGTTTGAGTTGTGATGTAACAGCTCACAACGTGCCTCGCAGATTATGCTCCATTTAAGTGCAGATAAGCAATGACATTCGAACATAACAACAAGTAGTACTCGAACGACTTTAAATCGGCTCGTCTGTGGTCACAAGTGCAACTCAAGTGCCGAGACTTGTTGTGGAATACACTTTCGATCAAGAAGGGGTTTTTTTTTAATCAGAAAGGTGTACACATTTTTATTATTGAAAGTGAATTCACACGTTGCTATGTTCCGTTGGATGGGAAGCGGGGTAAACCAGTGCCTTCGGTTCAATTACGTCGAAACTTTTGATAATCAGTATATAATTTTGCAAAGACACTTTTTTGAGACACATGAAAAGAAAAGATGTCATGGGCTGCATTATATTCATTGTTAGCTTTTAGGTGAAGCATGTACAAAATTATGCTTCTTTCCGTTGACAAAACTTTCGACATTTACGACTCCTTCAGTGGACTTATAAGGTCTCTAAAGCTCAACGCTGCGTACCTTCCCGATTTCCAAAACCAAATATGCACTGAATACCCGGCTTGAGAGAAACTGCAAGCTACACCTGTGAGCTCAATCGGCTAAGTTAGAGAAGAACAAACAGGTCTACCCCTGAAATAAATAGACTCAAAGGGTATCTATCCTTTTCTTCAACTCATACTTTAGAAAATCGTACATCACGTCATGCATAGAAGTACTACTGTGAGCACAAAAAGTAAGGTGAATTTGTTTGTAAAACTCAAAATCTTAATTTTTTTCTACATCCATTTCGTCGCCTTGAATTCCAACTCGTTTTCCAATTATCGAAGCATGTCAAATAGTCACGTTCTTGTATGGCCTTCAGAGAGCGCGCCGATTCACGTTTAATCTCCTCAATCGACTCAAGTGGTCTCTTGAGTTTTTGAGAGAGAACGAAGTCACATGGTGCTAAGTTGTCACGAAGAATGAGTGCTGTGTGCACGCGTGATGCACGAGAACCACGAAGGCACTTTCAGTCGTTTTGTAAACACCAGCGAAACTAAAATACCAATGAGGACATTGGCATGGAATTTGGCGTAGATGTCAATAACAGTGCTACCAACATTAAAAAAAAAACAATTAACTCGAAATATTAAACGCGCGAAGCTCAATTTAAAAATTCACCTGACTTTTTGCTCACAGTAGTATACATGAAGGTCGTCACTGGATGAACTCAAACTTTCCATTTCTTGGCTATAAAACGCAATATTTTTTTTTAAATGAACAACTATAATAAATTTTGAGAATTTCTTGGGATAATCTCTTGCCTTCTTGAACCAACTGGATATACAAAAATCATGCATTACTGTTTGTTTGTTTATATTATCGTATTTACCAACACTTGAATTATTTAAAAATAAAAATGTTGTTTCAACAAGTTGCTAAGCTCTCCGAGACGCTCATAAATGTATTTCTATTTTAAATATAAGACATTAGTATTTGTTTACATACATATTTATTTATACATATTTATTGCGTGCTGCCAAGCCGAAGGTCCTTGACTCGGCCGCCCTTCGAGAGTATTTCTGATATCAAATAAAAAGCTCCTCATAAAAATCTATCGGCCATTTGTTGAAAACAGGTCAAGACGCACACCACAAATGAGAAGAGAAGCTCGGCCGAAAATTCCCTCAACGGGTTCAAAGCGCCAATTAAAAAAAGTCAGGCTACGTCAGTACGACGCGAGATAATGCGCTGAAAAAAAGGTAATTAATCATGGCTCTGTAGCACTTCGCATTGACTATACGATTATGAGCGGCCTATTTTTTTTTTAAGAAATATGAACCGAAAATGAAAATCGTGCTTATTAATATGCCCATTCTTCCATAAAGTGGATGGGCACAATTGCTGCGCGCGATGGACTCTTTCAGGTCTTCTTCAATACCTTGCTCGGTGCGCACTGCACAGTATCTCTGGGGTTTCGCATTACCCACTGGGGTAAACGTGATACAAAACTGATCGGTTTACCGTCTCTGCTGGTTGCGTTCGACGTTGTGGCTCATTGAAAACCACTTGCCTCAAAAAACTGTCCTACAATAAACTGTTTCCATCTGTTCGAAACACATCAAGACGCATTCGCATCAGCGATTACAAAGTGTCAATTATATACTTATATATACTTATATATACTTATATATAATCGTATTAAATACCCTCTACCAAATATGCGCATATATTAATGCCGAGGTGTTCGTTGTTCCAACAGCAAATATAATCACAATATCGTATGGCGGCTTCTGTGGTTGGCCCTCAGCAAGTTTCCTGCAACTGCAATCTAAAGATAGTCCGCTCGAGACGGGACCCATGTCGAGTTCGGACGTCGGCTGGGTGGGCTCTATGGTATGTGTTGGTGGCGCGCTGGGTACTATGTTTTGTTCGTGGTTTGCCGATCGTTTTGGGCGCAAAAAATGTATGCTGTTGGTGGCGTTGCCGATGTTGGTGAGTATGAAAAAGTTTGCTGAAAGTAACTAGCTTTAGAATTACTTGAGAACTTTTGTCTAATATCAATACTCTGTTTCTTTCTTGTTTCTATAGATTGGTTGGTGGATTATACCGTTCGCTACCACACCGACACACCTTTGCATTGCTCGCGTCTTTGGTGGCTTTGCCGGTGGCGGAATTTTCACTGTCGTACCGATCTACACTACCGAACTGGCGCAAGATCAGTAAGCATACTTGGCATACTTAGCACTGTAAGAAGTGAATCGTCAACAATCTTTATGTCCTTTCAGCATTCGCGGCATTTTAGGTACGGTGCTGATGCTAACATTTAACTTTGGTATACTTTGCGCTTTCATCCTGGGAAACTTCTTCAGCTATGAGCTTGTGGCTTGGATTATGTCATCGTTGGGCGTTGCATTCATTCTTTGCTATCCATTCCTAAAGGAGACGCCGCAGCATCTCTTAAACAACAATAAAGTTAAGGTGACTATCTTTGCCTGTCAACTGAGAGCAAATGCATGGACCGGTTTTTGAAACATGAAAAATTCACTTTATTCACTTTCAGAAAGCTGAAAAGTCGCTAAAATATTTTAGAAATATTCGCGCGCTTTCACATGAGTGGCCCGAACACTTCAAGTTCGAATTAGATAAATTGAAAGGCGATGTCAAACAGGGCGATGATGAGGAGAACAATGCAATCACATGGCGGGATATAAGTAAGTTCAGCTGATCTCTTGAATTCTGCAAAATTTCTTTATTTTATTTTTTATTCGTTTTTTCTTGATCTCAGACGATCCTAAAACTCGCAAAGCATTCCTGATTGGCATTGGCATCATTACTTTGATGCAATTTTCCGGTTGCTTTGCGATGCTTAACTACGCTGGTAACATTTTCCAAGAGTCCGGATCCAGTTTGTCGCCCACCATATCGACAATTATTGTTGGTGTCATTCAATTGGTCGGCTCTTATTTTTCCACGTTGTTAGTAGAACGTGCCGGCAGAAAGGTGAGTTTTTGATTTCGAACTCAAATCAGTTGTAAATTTGATAAAATTTCAGATAAATTTTATTATTGGTTTTGATTATGCCATAAAAGTAGAATTTCAAACGCTTATGAGGCCATACGCAAGGCTCGTAAAAAAGAAGGCCACGCCAACATCAAAAGCATTTCATTGATAACGGAGTGTGTTCGCCTGTTTGTCTGTGAATTGCCGACTAATTATGTTGACGTTGTTCAGTATTTAGTAAAAATTTTAGCCACCAAATTTGGCATCGATTGCTTCTTAGCAGAGCAATTTACCGAAGTTAGAAAAGAAGGCAACGCGCAGTTAGTTTGATGGCTTACTATCTACTTAACCTCTGGCGACCTTTCCTATAAGTCTGAAGCCTGTATTCTATTATTATTAGAGATAGATACCAATACAGTAGCAAGCTCTGCAGAATATTTCGTAAGAATCTTCCGGACGAGCAGTCGCTAAGGTATATGAGAGCGCGCAACACACTGTTGGCATTTATTAGGTGAAACAAGTAAGGAAGATTGTGTTCGGATGGAACTGAATATAGATATTTAGCTGATATTCATAGAAAGCCCGGCGGCTTATCGGACTTTCGCTGGATGACTAAACGTCAATTTTAGGCGAGGTGGGTTTGTTCCTGGAAGCCACTGTAACTAAAATATCCATCAGTTTAGTCTACGGATCGGTCGAAAACAAAAGGTCTATTATGTTGACGGTAGATTTATTTCTGTACTTACTTCAGCCAACAAAAGGTCTATTATGTTGACGGTAGATTTATTTCTGTACTTACTTCAGCCAATGTGGTTTCTCAGATGTACATTTTGACAAAACAAAAGGCACCCGAGTCGATGATCCGTTTCAAAATTTAACTTTAATTCAACATTTAGCTGCTGTATTATCGGGATTTCCAACCTTTCACAACTATCGTTATGAAGGGGTTCGGCGTGAGCTTGGTCTTATTCCACGCATTGATCGAGACTTGGACTAAATAGCCTAGGAATGGCAAGGTTGGTAAGCCGATACAGCAACAACAATGACTGGATGTGGTTGCATAATTTTGGCGAGTCACTATCAATGTGTATGGTCTGGCGTTGCCTCCTGCAGAAGGTCCGATCGTTGCCAGTACAGGTTCGAATCAAAAGTTTAGTCGTAGAGGAGCAGCTCATAGTGGATGATTCCTTCTCGTTCCCACCAAACACATAACAAAACTATTTGTGTCGGCCCGGTCGACGACGACCGTTTTCGTTTGACGTTAATGTACCAGTAAATGATCCACTTGCTCGTATCATCACCAGTCACCATCCGATGGGTCGGTTTTTTACTTTATCGACATTTTCGAGCACCATAAACACTGGTGTCCATTTTTGACATACGCTCAACTCAACTCTACTCAACTGAGTTCAGTGATGAACGCTTCTCTGCTGTCATATTTATTTAGTAGGAAATATTGTCTTTCTACCGCCATATACAGGACGCGGGATACAGATCCTTAAAGCCATCTATTGCAGTAATAATGGATTACATTTTACCGCACCAATTATAGTTATAGTTCTGTTCGTTGATCAGATGGACAGTAACAACTTTTACCGAACTTTACTGAATCGTGTTCGTTAAGCCAAAAACGCAGTAAAATTTGTAACGAGAGAGCGCAAATTTGACGTTTAGTTAGGAGGGAAAAATGGCAAATTCCTGGTTTCGTGCTAACATCCGTCACAACAACAACATTATAGAAAACTAATTTAAATAAAAAAATAAGCAAAAATTAGCTATCAACCCCTCCGAGAACATTTCAGACATGAAATAAACTGTACGTCCCTCCAATTGTTGGAAAAACATCAAGACGCAAGACCACGAATTGGAGGAGGTGCTCGGCCGAAAATCGCTTCAGTGGTTAGAAAGCGCCAATTATATATATATACGAGTAGGAGTGTATGAAAAACAGCTAATTTGAGGTAATATGATTGAACTTTTGCCAACAACCAAATGTAATTTTGTTAAAATAAATTTAATCGTATCAACGGTTCAATTGAATAGCTAAGGGTACTCGTTGAATGAGAATGCAATGGCAGTGAAGTGGAATCATCGCTCGCACACCACGTTGAGAAAATTATTTTTTCTTTAGGATTTTAGTATTTTACTAGAAAACAGAGGCGACCAAATGAGCCACAAAACATTGGGAAGCTTCCTGAAGCGACGACGCAGCACAACATGAAATATTAGCGACGTTTACAAGGAAAAATAAAGTTCGTTCTTTGTTTTTATTTGAACGGAATCGAATAAGCTCTGTAATAATGTACACATAATATGGCCGGCTTACACGGAAAAAGAATTTCAAACTGATTTTTGTGAAAACTCAGTAAATTTCTTTCTTTGAGAGAGTAAGACATCTAACTCTTCCAATTTCGTTTCTGACTAATTTCCACTGACATCTCCCACCACATTTCTATACTCTCTGTGCCTGGTACAGTTGAGTGCAAAAGCACGTTTTCGAAAAAAACAAAGTTTTTTAGTTGTTAGTGAATGTAGATTTTGCCACACGAAATTGGGTTAATGACGGCGTCGGCGTCATCTAAGCACAGTTTTGGTGCGAAATTCCGACTAATATAGAGACATTGAATTTGGTGAAATTTTTCCTAGCAAGGATTACAATATTATAACGTACTGTATTTGATTGAGAATTTTTTATTCAATAAGCATTAACTGTTGCTCTTTGTTTACTTGCACTTCCAGCTTCTCTTGCTAATCTCTACCTTGGGTATTGCTTTGGGTCACATCATATTCGGCACTTATACATATCTCGATGTTCTCGGCTACGACGTGAATGCGTTCTCTTGGGTGCCGGTAGTTAGTTTCTCATTCACTATTTTCATTGCCAGTTGGGGCCTAATGGGTCTACCCTACCTGGTCATAGCGGAGATTATACCACCAAAACTGCGCAGCATGGGTTCCATGGCCTGCATGGTGCATATGTGGATTACAGGTCTCATTATGTTGAAGGTGAGTATTCAAGTATAAGATTTGCATTACGAAAGCAACGTCCAACTACACCTCTGTTTAACGCTCTTTTAGTTTTTACCCTTGATGACTGAGATGATGGGCATGCATGGCATGGTCTTCGCATTCGCTGGCATTTGCTCTGTCGGTATTATATTCATGATTGTTTTTGTGCCTGAAACCAAGGGCAAGACCATTGAGGAGATCCTTGAGAGCTTGTAGTATTAATACGGCGACTTATGCGGCTAAGTACGAGTAGTTGTCTTGGTGTTTGCTTAAGATCTTGCCCTTAAGGCTCAAGCTCAAATCGACTGAAATTTATTTATGTAAGTGTAACATGTAACAGTATTTGTTGCCTCCGAATACATATGTATGTATGTATGTAAATATGTATTATGTATTGTATATATGATAATATTAAGCTACAAGAATACGAATTTTAATAAATAAATATATAAGTATGTATTTTTGAATGCGGAAAATTTCAGTTTTATTTCATGATCTGTTCATATTCATCGCTCTGTACGAACTCCATTTGGATTTGGGAAAAAACTGGCTTCGTTGTTTGTGATGGAGCTTGTAAAGCGACTATCTCAAGCCAATAGGTAAAGAGATAGACCCATCGAAATTTATAGCCATTGGGTCAGAATGATGAGTTGAGTTGATTGTCGTCTGTCTGTCTGTATGTAGGTTAACTAGTTCTTGTTTGATTTATAGTATATTTCCCAAATCTGGTCCCCAGGTGCATTGCTATATGTAAACGATCATTTGTCAAATCGAGACAGCTCGGATTAGCATTTATTTGACCTATGCAGCTGGGAGCATGAAATTTGTTATTCTGCACATATAAAATGATTACATTTTGCCACTGAAAATAATCGAAATAGAAAAACAAACGAATATTTAACATCAATAATGACTTCAGCCTTAAAACCCTACACAGAAAGAGTGCAAGAGCTCTTAGTGTTACTTTGGACTCAATAGACAATTGAAAAGTAAAATTCTCTCTCGACGAAGAAGGACCAAACTCTTTAAGTCGCTAATTATTCCTGTTATTGAACCGTAAAATATTCACCGAATTCGAGGAATATTGTGGGAGTGACAGTTCTTGGCCTGACAAAAATTCGCGTGGTTCCGGTATAAAGACCCGACTGTCGCGGGAAGAATTGGATTGTACTCACCTCTTACGACAGGCATGCCTTACCAAGGGTTAATTCTTGAGCGTCTAACCCTGTTATGTAGTGTGACGTTACGAGTTTATGAGATAAAGATTTTTCATCAGATGTATGGTCCTCAACGAATATCACAGCTGATGGAAGGATGAGCTTTATTAGATATACGGCGCCATTGAAACAGGTCAACGAATCAAGGCAAAGTGGCAGTATGATTGTTGTTGCTACTGAGGAGTTTTGGGCGAACAACTAACAAAAATTTAAGGAAAACAACCTTAAGCCATCTAAAATAAAAAGCCATTTTTGTAATAATATTTTTTTTTTTATATAATATATTTCATATAATACAAATTCTCACAATATTTTATAGCGATAATTATTTTAAATAATTTATTTGTATGTTTTCTGTACCACACACATATTTATTATATACATAATGTGAGGGAATTTGTGTGATTATATTTGTTTCATTACTGCTGTTCTATATATATATATATATATATATATATATATATATATATATATATGTATGTATATATGTATATATGTGTGTATGTATGGTTATGTGTATGTATGTAAACTATTATTTAACCTGAATTATTACTAAGCTAGATTAGGCGTTAATTATCAATACGATAATAATTAGTGTAAATTAATTATATTAGATTCTATTATTTCTATTTTGTTGTTGGCGTGCATTTACGAATTTATTTATAAAACTAGAATACTACATCACAGTAATTTTCAAAAAACAAACAAAAAAAACATTCCATTACTTGTATGCGTACGTGTATGTGTGTTAACATACTTTAAGGTTATGTAGCAATTATCTCGGACTCCTGTGGTGATAAATTACAATAACATTTATTTGTTTAAATAGAATCTAATAAAACTTTAATGGAGAAATATAAAAATGTTTTAGATTTTCCCAAACTTTTTACTTTCGTTTTATTCATTTTTACCATTTTAAATCACTTTCAGAACAAGAAGCGCGAATCAAAGAATACTCACTTGCTGTTTGTTTGTATGTATATGTACATATGTACATAGATAATATTATATTATATAATATTAAACGAGTTTTGGTGCAAGGAATATTTCGGTTTTCAATTTTTACTTCCTTCCATTGCAGTTGTTGTATTTTTGTTTGTATGTTTACTGGCCTAGTAAAGTGATGCTTTTTACGTAATTTTCTAACACATAAAATTTTCATTAAAATATTTTTTAACATAAAATATGCACATACATACATACAGTAGATTTAAAAAATTTCTTAAAAATGGAAATATATATGTATATAATTGTACATTAAAAATATATGTATATAAGTTTATATATTAATATTTAATGTGTGCAAATTATACACGTAGGATCATCAAAATGAATGCATTAGGGTGGACTACTGCTATCTGTATCGAATGCACGCGCATAACTTCGAAAGAAAAATATTTGCAATTTACACCACTTCTTGCCACTTTAAGCGGTGAATACAATTAATATAGACAAAGTCGTTGTTCATTTTTATAATTCTGTGCCACCCTAAATTACCTATGAATATATATGTTCACATTTGTATATTAGAACGAAGGTGTCTCGTACAGAGTTTCTAGCCAAGAAGAGCTCTCCCTCGAAGCTTTCGAAACACTTCGTTCGCTAATCACAAAGGCAAAAACAACATTTCATAAATTAAAAATGACCAACAGGAAACGAAATCGTTTCTATATACTCGTATGCATATATATAATACATAGATATGTAGCATCTAATATATGTATAAGAAAATGCCATGTTTTTGTAGTTCGTTACTACCTCCGTTTTCACATTAATCTCACTGGACTTGGGAATATCACGTCTTGGGGCAACGCACATAGCGCAGCACCGCATAGCCGAGGCAACGAAATACCACGAAGAACATCGTTAGCACCATCGTGTTGAGCCACAGCGGCGATGTGGAGTTTTGTGCCTTGAGTATTTCCCCATATGGAATGAATGTGGCTGTGTTGTTGTTGTCAGCATTTTTGCAAAATTCAAAACTGCTGGGATTGCCACAACTGGGAAAATAAAAAGAGTAGATTTAATTATTTTTTCTGGTAAATATGTTATATGTATGTATACTTATAATTTCCTATTTTACTCACCTAATCGCTGGCCCTTCCCGAAACTCCAGTATCTGCATATTTTGATACGCATAGTGGATCATGGAGGTGTAGCGTATCCAGCTAAGGCCCTCTGGAATGCGTGTGGATAAATAGCCTCCGAAGAGTTGTGTCGCCAACGTGTAGAGCGCGCTCAGCGTGATACTGACATTCATATCCATGCAGCAAGCTCCGATGAAGAAACCGACGCTTTGCGCCACAATCGTGTTGAGCAGCAGAAAGACCAACATCAGGGAGAACAGTTTGAAACTGGAATGAAAAAATGTTTAAAAATGTCCTACAAGCCAAGAAGAGGTCTGCAGCTGAGTTTTTCTTTTATTAGTTTTACTTTGCTTTTTCTATCTTTCAAGCTTGAAAAATACATTCAGGTAATATAAGGATGAAGCGGAAAATGTTATGGAAAAGCGAGCTAAGAAAGAGAACTTTTGCGGTATATTATACTTGAAAGACATTCTTCAGTAAAAACTTGGTTGACTATGCACTAATTTCGTGAAAAAAATTAAATGCTCTGAGCATTCGAATTTCTCTTGAAACTCACCTCGTGCAGCCCAACATCGGGTAGGATATCATGAGGTAGACAGTCGGCAGCGTCACAACCAAAGGCAATTCGCCAAACATTTTCGCCAAGTAATAGGCAGAAAGCCTGTATGCGCCCGAACGACGTTCCTTACTGATAACTTCGCGCTCGGCAGGGACTGTAGCAATAGTAAACAAATAAAGATTTAAATAGTATTAACACCAAAATATATTTGTATTGTCCCATGACACAACTCACATGAATTTAAAGCACCAAAGAGAGCGAATAACATCCAGTACGTTTGTGAAAAGAACATCCAGCCCTGCAAATCGTGTAGGAACTCCTCTGTGCGTGGGATTTGGAACCATATGGAACCGGCCATCAGGGCTAATCCGATCGTTTGGAACCAGTTCAACTTGGATAACATACACGGCTTGGCCTCTTTGAAATTTCGACTGGACAACACACAGAACTGTGTGTGAAAACTGGTAGGATAGTCGAGCCATTCGGTGTCACCGCCGCATGTCTCATAGCGTTGGCAATCACTCGAAGTGGCACTGGAATTGGATTGGGAATCATGACCATACCACAGCTGTTGGGACGCCTCTTCATTTGAGCTCTGATGATCGCTAATGATGAGCATGGCATCATGATTGATGTGATTATTGTGATTGTTGTGGTTGTTGTGATTGTTGTGCATGTCCTTGTAGTAGTTGTTGATGATGTCGTTGATGAGCGCATCGTGCTTGTTCGACTTCTCGTTGACAATTTCGGTGGTCGTTGTGTCGTTGGGCAACGTGCAGGCCGATCCATCAACAGTGATGCCGCCATTGTGTTGTTGGTTGTTTGAGTGGTGTCGTTGGTTGCGTTGATTGTTCGTATTCACCGTTATACAATTACGGTTCAAGTAGTTGCCGTGCGACTCTTTGGCGGCAATGAAGAGCTTCTCGCGGATTTTCGGATACGACTTGAGCTGCTCCACTGTTGGGAATATGAGATGATTAAAAAGTAATTCACTTAGTTGATTGAGACAATCAAATACTTACATACGAAGTCCGCGGGATTGTAGTGGGGCTTGATGGCAACTCCGATATTCTCGAAATACGTGTAAATATTATTCACCTCGCCGAAGTAGGCGGTGCGGCCGTTGTATAGCAACAACAGCTTGTCGAACATATGGAACATTTGCGAAGACGGCTGATGAACGGTGATCACCACGGTCTTTTGCTCTTGCACAGCATAGCGTTTGAGAAACTTCATGAGCGATATGGCGGAATGACTGTCAAGGCCGGATGTTGGCTCCTGAAAAGAACAAGCGCCATAAATAAAATTTAAAAGAGTACACCTAAGAGCTGTTGGCGGTACTCTTAATTCCCACCTAGACACACACACACTAGCCAGCTTTTGTGGCGCTCTTGGGACCAGTGCAGATATATACATATGTGTGTGAGCGCTCTGCTCATCATTTACTTAAGTTTGTTTTGATTTCTCTCTTCTAAAATTCATACATAGTGTACATATGTATCTCTCATTTATACTCACATCTAACAACATCAACAACGGATTCGTTAGCAACTCGCATGCGATATTGGCGCGCTTCTTTTCACCACCCGACAGTCCACGATTCAGGTAATCACCAAATTTTGTATGTTGACAAAATGTTAGCTCCAGCGCCTCGAGTATACGATCAACCAGTTGTGTCTTCTCCGCCTTTGGCATTTTCTCCGGCAGACGCAGCAGTGCTGTATACATAACTGTCTCTCTGAGGGTTAGGCCAGAGAAGAAGATCTCCTCTTGCAATACGTAACAGATCTTGCGGCGCCACTTTTTAGAGAGCGGCTCCCGATTTAGGTAAACGCCACCACTGTCGAAACGGCGCTGCCCGCTGAGGCAGTCGAGCAATGTAGTCTTCCCACTGCCAGATGGGCCCATTACGGCTAAAACTTCACCGGGGCTGTAGAGCGTCGTTAAAGAGGCCAGGCCAAATGCACAACAACGTCAACAGCAGACAAAAAAGCAAAACAAAAGCCGAAATGCAAAATGCAATTGCCGCAGCGTCGAGAGGCATAAAAGTGGATGGGAAGAATGGAGCGCGAAGAATGTGATACGACGAATGGTGAAACAGAGGAATGTGGAATAATAAAAAACATAAAAATGTATACGAGAAGAAAAAGAAGAAGAAGGAAAAATAGATTAGAAATGTGTATGTGTGTATGTATGTATTCAGATAAAAATGTGGCAGTATGTTTGTGGTTCAGTTGTGTTACCTTACTAAGCCACTCACATCGCAGAGTATCTGGCGCTCATTGTGCAGTACGTTTAGATTCTGGAATGACAACTGTAACGTACGGTGATGGGGCTCCATGTCGGATATGAAGGGAAATGTGGACATCGTTTGATCGCTGCTGAAATGAGAAAGAAAAGAGTAGGTTAAAAAACGATTTTCACGAAAGAAACTCAAAAAATATGTGATAATTTGTATGAGTAATCATTCCTTAGTAGATCTTCCTAGATGTATACAGACTTATTTCAAGGTAGGTCCGATGGCTTGGCTTTACATGAAATTCAAAAATTCAAGTGGACTTCATGTCCTTCGAAAACCCTTTCAACTCAAAATGGCAGGGGGATTATATGCAGGCATATTCGTTTTCTACGAGCTGGCGGTTGGTGGTTGAAGTGATTTCAAGCATTCTACAAATAGTTGTAACACCGTTAACGGCATGCTCAGTCAAGAGGCTGCATAGGAGTGCCGAGATTATTTTGAGGTTGAGGGATCAAAGGAAGATATATGCAGCAGCAGGGGTCCGTGGGCAAGATCGCCGCGTGACAAAAAATCAATTGCCAAGTCGATTTATTGGGATTTAAATACATGCAGACATATGCACACACATCGATGAAGGTTCATTGTACTTTTTAATTACTTTTGTTTCGAGAGATGATTTTAATTTAAATATTCCTGATGATTCTTCTAGTATTCATGTTTTAATTTACTTTTAATACGGAATTTCTTGTACAAATGAGAGAGAGTGTTATATATCACATGTATGTATGTATACATGTGAATGGCTTTTCAATAAAGTCGACTCTTTGTAGACGTGCGGAGAAGCCATTTGAAACTGTCCAATACGCATTTAACCTCATGCATACATATTGTTTTATTTAAATTTATGTATATATATACACTATACTCTATATATACTCTATATATCGTCGATTATATTGAAAGAATGGAGAAATGATTTTTCTTCCAATGCCATCGAGAGGGGGTAGAAATAGCAACGGCGCAACCAGAAAGAATGATAGACAACAGATTCTTTTTATCTTTAAAAATTTTATATAAATTTCCCATGTACATATGTACATATAAGTACATATGTACATATGAATATGTAGTTTAGGGTGGTCCAAAAAAATCGTTAAATAAAACTCACTCGAGACTGCAACGTCTTGGAAATCAAAGAAAACTGGGTAAATACCCTAGAAAATATGATCGACACACATTTCTTCTTCATCGATTTTAAAGCAACTTTCGGCCGCACGAAAAGGAGGAGCTTCTATGTCCCAATATGTAACTTTGGCGTCATTGAAAAGCTTTTGCAGCTGTGTAAAGTGACTTTAAGCAACACCAAAAGCTCCGCCAGGAACAGGAAGGCTTTTTCCAAGCCGTTCGATACCAAACGAGGCTGGCAAATGACAAGGTGATTCTTTATCGTGTGACTTTTTTAGCTTGTTGCTGGAAAAAATAAAAGCTGGAAAGCAATCTTATCTAACAGCCGATGAGTCATCTTTGGGAGTTCTCAAGAGAAAGGTTTTACATAAGCTTTATGGTCATCATTGTTGGCAACGGCGAGTACCGCAGCTGTTGGAACGCTGAGTGACGAACGATGGTTCAACGAATCCGGAGACTGGGCCATGTGGTCTGGATGCGCAAGAATAGTTTTGAGGTTTTGAAAGTTTTCCAAGCAGTAACTGCTGGAGGAAGCAGAGAAAGAAGAAGACCTCGCTGTACTTGGTGTTTCTAGTTGACGTTTAAAAGCGCAAAGATGGAAGGAACGCTGTTGTTAACTCGGCTATAATCGCGAAAGCGGAAGTAAGCTAAATGTGTAAGTCTTATCCAGCGTTTTAGATTCTTAGAATTAGGGAACCTTTCCTTAAGTATTGAAGTGGCGGCCGCGGTAGCCGAGTGTTTATCATTGCGTATTGCCATTCGGAAGGCTCGGGTGCAAATCCAAGTGCCACCAACATCCAACAGTTATAGAAAATTAATTTAAAATTAAAAATTAGTTAAATTTTCCAATTGCATGAAATAAAGCCATCAGCCGTTCGGAGGCGGCTTAGTATAAACTGTAGGTCCCTCCATTTGTTGAAAAAACATCAAGACGCAAAACCACATACTGGAGGAAGAGCTCGGCCGAAAATCGCTCCAGCGGCTACAAAGCGCCAATTATATGTAAGAAAATGTGATATTGGATGAGTTCCAAAACGTATGGGTTGTGATATCTTATTTTATCTTAAAAAGATTTTTTTGATTTTAACAATTTTACGAAAACAAAAATTTTCAAAGCTTCATTGCTTTGTCCAGTTTTCAGTCAATTTTTTTTATAAGTTTTTTGACTATCCTGATGACTTGGGCAGCGCAAATGTACACATGTACACGTATGTATGTGCGTGCATCTTCATATTTTTTTCAATCAAATTTGCATACCACCGATGTATAGATATTTATGAACATATGTATGTATGTATGTGCGGTATGTAGGTGCATTTACATATGCGCTTTTTAACGCGTTCTACAGACTCATGTCTCGAGTCAGTAACTAACTCGTGCACACCTACATACATACCTACATACATACATGCAGCGTTGGTGCCGGCTAGCTGTGTTAGCAAACCGGTGCCACTGTCATTTTATTTTTGGTTCTCTGATCTTGGTCTGATTACAGCGCTGGAGCATACACAAATTTACTCGTACATATGCATATGCATATGCATACATACATACATGCATACATACATACATGCATACATACTGGCAATGAAATATGAAAATTCATAGTAAACGTTTGTATGTATGTATGTATTGACATAAGAATTTAAATTTTCATGAATATACATACATACATATATGTATATGTAGTATGTATTTACATACACACTCCTATGTATGCATGCATAGATGTTGTACTACTGTTATTATTTTTTATTTTTACATATCTATGTATGTATGTACATATGTACATATGATTATTTCTATTATTATAATCATCATCACTCAGTGCGTACGAGTGTCCAGGCCATTTGTTGTCGCCATTCTTGATACTGCGCATCGCCCTATGTACATATGCATGCACATATACACGTATATATGTATGTAAATACAATATTTAACCACGTAGTTGTTGTGTTTTTTCGTTGTCATTCCGAACAGTCACCGCTGCCGCCGTTTTAATCTCATTAATACATTCACGCAATATCTGTCGAAATTAACATTTTTAAATGTTTCTGTTTCTGTTTCTGTTTCAGTTTCGGTTTCGGCTTTTTTGTTAATTTATTTTTGATAATTTTAATTTTTTGACCAAAAATCTCGGAACATATTGCACGGCCCGCGGGTTCGTTGACTTCTTGTATGGCGAACAGAGGCACAAATATAATATTATTTATTGTATGTGCATATATACATACCTATGTATGTATGTATGTATGTATGTATGTACGTATGAGTATGTACTATTTGTGAAAGCGGCGATATGCACTTTGTTATGTACGAGTATGTGCTGAGCAATCATTGACCAAATGAAAATGAGTTTATAAACACAAATATTTGTCTGCACTCGGAAGCTGTGTTTAACGGCTAAAGAGGACTCTGCCAAACTCCCTCTATCTTTCAATTGACTTGTTCGCCGTTACAAAAGAGTAGGACAATTTACTTCAGAACTTACGTATGCCGAATTGCGATGTGAAATGTGTGTGATCTGGGAGTAGATGAAAAGAGTAGGTCGCAGTCTTAGCTTGAAGCTTTTGGATGTGCTTTCATTAAGGGACTCCCAAGAGTTTTCGTTGATTTCAGCAGTTCAATTTTAATTAAAACAGCCTCTCCGCAATTGCAGACACTACCAAAATAATGTTAACCACAAGAATGAGTCGGTGTGCGTGGTTAAGGTGTACGTGCGGGTTGGCATGGCTCACGCAGCCAAGTTATAAAACTGCTTTAAGTTTGGTTGAAAATTGAAAGTAAAGAAAGGTGCGTTACAATCTACGTACATACATCCATGTGTATGTACTCATACTCGTATGCATGTATTTATCTATACGACATATTTACCTTTCAAACTAATCCAGCTGTTTAACGATTTTCAATAGACAACTGGGAAGTTTCTTTTAGAAATGAAACCCTTATAGTGTACCTATGAGTGAATAAGAAGCTTTGTAGAATGACCTCAATGTACCCCCAACGGCAAGGCCCTAAAAGAGCTCCACAGACCTTTATGCAAACTGTCAAAGATGCGCTGCCTTGTCAGCTCACCAGAAAAAAAGATAAAGATTTTGTGAAGAATCGACGACTAGAACCAATGCATGTCTGCTACAGAAGTAAGGAGGTAGGTCTATTTCTAGACCTATGTGAGAAATCTTTGGTCATGCAACCGGTGAAAATTATAAAGTCCGTATATAAGACAAAGGCGTTGTTGGCGCTTGATATATGTATATATCTATATAATTAGCGCTTTGTAACCGCCGAAACGTCTTGATGGACAAATGGAGGAACCTACACCTTCTGTATCTCCGAACAGCAGATGGATTTTTATAAGAGGCTTTGTGTTGGAAGACATCCGAAAGGCTTGACATTCCCCGCTGATGCGTGATCGCACTTAGAAATATTAGTTTACTGAATGTTGATCTGGACAAAATACGAATATTATTATCATGACAATGACAATGACAGTAGGCAAAACCAAACACATTCTTTCGCACATTCATTTAGATTCACGTCTATGCAAAAGTGTTTGATGTTCTTCTTCTAATGATCTCATAGAGATTCACATGACCTAATTCCTTCTGATTTCTCCGAAAAAGGGATACACATATCGAATCGTGGTTTTGCAAAAACAAAAACATAACAAAAGGAATTTGTGTACCCTTTTTTATAAGCGAATACAGACGAAACCATAATAATAAAGCATTGACTACGACGTGTATGTGTATGTAATTCGAGTATCTACTATACGAGGGTAGCCTTTTATATTTTTAGATTACAGATCAAAAGCAAATATTAACATTTATACACTTTTGCTACTTCTTCACCGTCGGGCAATAAAACGTTTTTGCCAACGTCCGCGGTTCAGCAGGCCGAAGAAGTGTTCCCTTCATAAGCTCAGTATAATATTCTGGGTTTCGGTCATCAGATCGC